ATATGTGTGTGTGTGTGCTCACACGTGTGTGTGTCTGTGTCTTTGATGTGCACATCCTCTACTGTCTTTCTAGTTCAAGTGCAAGGTCTCCAGGTCAAGGGATTTTCTTGAACTCTCATTACCTCCAGCAACCTAACTGTACTCACTCCACAGTGAGAGTAAGCATGGCCTGGTGTTTACAGCTACTGGGAAAAGGAGGGAAGGCAGGGAGAGTCTGGGTGGGCCTGGCTCTTCCTCACTGGCGCCTCTGCCTCCCCTGTCCTCCCACAGCTCTGCCCCTGAAGACTGCACGTCCTTCAGCATCACTGCCTCCTCAGGAGTGGTTGTGGAGGTGGCCTACAGCCCTCCAGCCAAGAAGAATTCCACAGGTTCCTCCAAATGGCCCCTGGACCCTGAGCTGCAGGTGACCGTGCAGATGAAAGCTGCCAGTAGTAGCACAGATGACCAGAAGGTGAGAGTGACAACTGTGGGGTGGAAGTGTGGAAAGATGTCAGTCAGGCAGCAGCTACATCAACCCCAGAAGAGCCTCTTCCCCTCTGGAAAAGCTCACGATGGCTCCTTCACCCTAGTGTCCTAGTGCCAGGGGTTTGTGGAGGTCAAGGTCTTAATTAAATTCATCCATTTGGCATGTGTTAATAAGCCCGTAGCTCATGTCAGGTGCTGCCAGGCCCTGGGAACACAGAAATAAGAAAGACAGGCTGCAGCCGTCATGGGATATCAGGTAACATTGCTCTAGGGTGGGGGTGGGGGGGTCAACTTTTGACCTCTTCTGGCTTCCTTCTGGTGGCAGTCAGCATCCCATGATGCGTGGTGGCACCACTACACTGTCTCCATGGTCACACTGCCTCCTCCCTTTCTCTGTCTTCTCCCTCTGCCTCTCTTATAAGGACACTTGTCATTGAATTTAGAGCCCACCTGAATAATCCAAGGTGATCCTTAATTTACATCTGCAACCCCCTTTTTTACCCTCAAACAAGATCACATTCACAGATTTCAGGAATGAGGACATGACCCTTACTCTTTGGGGACCACCATTGAGCTTACTATACCTTGCTCTGACTATAGATGATCCCCATGAGACCCTCTAGGGTTCCCACTGGGATCAAAGCCAAAAGCCACTGTTCCTGGAGGAACAAGCCAAGCAGACTCTTCCCTGGGAATGAAACATGGTTCCCCTGCCGTAGGAACACAAGTGAGCTTGAGTATCCAGGCATGTGTGGTCAGGGAAAAATTTCCTGGAAGAAGTGGCAAACTGCAGGATGGTACAAAAGACTGCCCTGAACGAGGGAAAGAGGGTGAGAATTACAGGAGTCAGATGGCTGTGGACACACTGCTCTAGAATAGGAAGAGACACATGTTGGGAAAACTGAGGAAGTTCTGTATGACAAGGAGGGGGCAGAAAGGGAGGTGAGGGGGAAAGGAGCCCATATAAAGGGTTTGGCATCAGGGATGTCATTTTCTGAGGGCATCAGGAAGCCACAGAAAAGTTTTCAGCCAGCGAGTCACAGGTAGGCATTTGTAATTTAGAAAAGTTCCAGTGAACCAGGCACCAGTGGCTCACACCTGTAATCCTAGCTACTGGGAGGCTGAGTTCGGGAGGATCCAGGTTCGAGGCCAACCTGGGCTGGAGATGGACCCCATCTCCAAAATAAGCAGAGCAAAATGGACTGGAGGCATGACTCAAGTGGTTGAGCACCTGCTTTGCAAGCAGGAAGCTCTGAGTTCAAACTCCAGTTCCACCAATGAAAGGCCCCTTGGCTGCTGTGCAGACTAAAGGCAGAGAACCAGCACAGAAGGCCAAAGCCATTCTCCAGACGACAGGTGATGGCACTGTGGCATTTCCCTGGGTCCCCAGTGTCTAAGGACACTGGTCCCCCAGGAGCAACTTTTCTGTTGGCAGAGAACTTGGGTTTTAAGCAAGCCATCTTGCTTGGGTGTGCCCCGCCCTCCCCAAGGGTACCACTGAGCTACCCTTGCAGTCCCCCCTGGATTTTGCACCTAAGACTAAGGGTTTTTTTTTTTTTATTGTTTTATTATTCACATGTGCATACAATGCTTGGGTCATTTCTCCCCCCTGCCCCCACCCCCTCCCTCTCCCCCCACCCCCTCCATACCCGGCAGAAACTATTTTGCCCTTATCTCTAATTTTGTTGTAGAGAGAGTATAAGCCATAATAGGAAGGAACAAGGGTTTTTGCTGGTTGAGATAAGGATAGCTATACAGGGAGTTGACTCACATTGATTTCCTGTGCATGGGTGTTACCTTCTAGGTTAATTCTTTTTGATCTCACCTTTTCTTTAGTTCCTGGTCCCCTTCTCCTACTGGCCTCAGTTGCTTTTAAGGTACAAAGGGGGTTGTTGTTTCTTCATCCGGCACCCATGCAGCTCCTGCTCCCCAGATCCCCACAGGAGGGGGCCTGAGGGCTGACCCTTCTGCTCGAAGGAGTCTGTTTCTGTGCCCTATGGCTCTCTCTCTCTCTCTCTCTCCCCCCTCTCTTTCTTGCTCCCTCCCTCCCTCTCTCTCTCTCCTTCTCTCTCTCATGCCTCTCCCACCCTACCTCCAGCTGCTGAGCCTCTACTCCCCTTCCTGTCAAGGTACACCTCTTCCTGGAACCCCAATCCCCTTCTCAGGCAGCGTGAGTCCCTCCATTTCTGAGTTCCCATAGTATGTTCTTCTACAGCGTCACAGTTGTCTGAGCTGAGTTAAGCTGAGCTGAACTGGCACCTAGCAGGGGTCCAGTCCCTGTTTGTTGAATGACTAAGAGAAGTCCTCCTGTGTCTTGTAATGGTCCTTTGATGTCTTATAGGTTCAAATTTTATACTATGGACCCAAGACCTCCCAGGTCCAAGCCCTGCTCTACCTCACTGGGGTGGGTAAGTGATGACCAGGGTTCTGAGTGTTGCCTCTCTCCCCTTCACACACCCCTGCAGCATGGTTCCCCTGGATAAACTACACCTAGAGTTAATTTTAGAGTGAGCAAAGAAAAAAGACAATTCTAGATAGTGGTACATCTGGTAGGTCATGAATGTCCCATTCCCAGTGTGTGAGCCACCAAGAAAGGGGGTGCAGGAGCTCTAATTGCATCCTAAGAACTTATTTCTCAGGTTAGGAAGTGGGTGTGGCTTTTCAGTACACATGCCCCATACCTTTGTTTGTTTTGTGTTTTGCTTGTTTGTTTTAATTTACTTTTATTTTTGTTATTGTTGGGGTACATTGTGACATTTACGAAAGTGCTTACAGCATATCTTAGTGAAATTCACCTCCTCCGTCCTTCTCCTTCACTCCCCTCCCCCATACCTTTTTGACACCTCCAATATTTATAACCAAAGTAAATGATGATTCTGTTCTATATAATAATACAGACCATGTTCCCCTAATTCCATTATTTAATCCATCTATATTCATGTTCTGAGACCTATTTAATGTTCTTCTTTAAATAAAATCTATTTTTAGGATTGCTTGAATCCAAGAGCTCAATGTGGCCAGCCTGGACAACGTAGTAACACCCTATATCTAAGAAAAAAAAATAATGCTAAATAAATAATACAAATAAAATCCATTTTTAATTTGATCTCTTCCTGAAAAATATCTTATTTTTATTTAAGTGTGTGTTAAATGCATAAATAGGTGAAACCTTCAGGTTTCATTTCATTAATGAATTTTGTTCTTGATTACAATTTAAATAATGAGATCACACTTACTCTCTGCCAGGTGCTTAATTCTTATGACATTCCAGTAAGCTTGGCGCTATTACCCATTTTACAGGCAGGGAAACTGAGGCACAAGAAGTAGACAGGTTTGTCTGAGGTCGCAGCTAGTTAGTGAAGGTCCCAGCCACCAAGACCCATGCTGCCTTTTCCTTACACTAACACGCAGCGTAATATAAACTGTCATTTGTGTAGTTTCACATGGGACAAAGGTCCCTGGGGACATGCTGACAGGTGTTCAGGTCTACTGTTGGAATGACAGCTTGGTCACACATTCTGATGGGGAGAAAGGATTCCTAAACAAACATGCTTTCTCAGCCATGCCTTTTGGATGCAATCGGGTATTAGGGCTGCGATTTGTCCCCTGGTGCAGAGACACATGTCACACAAAGAGCAGGTGGAGTCGATGTAACCACTGGGTCCCACCCGAGGTGGAGAGCCTGGCAAGGTGTCCTTGCAGGAGCTCCACGAGGACCCTTCACTGGGGTGACTAGGAATTCTTTCTGAGGCCCCTGGGGGTGACTCGAGCGCAGGGTCCCGTTGGCATCACATCCATGGCCCCCCTGAAGCAGGGCAGAATGGCTGAAGCCCCAGCTCTGTCTCTGAGTGGTTGCCACACTTCGTGGGGACAGGGCAGGGGTATCTTGGGCCCCTGTCCCCTCTGAAGGAGGAGGGCTCCATCCTTAAATGCAGGCTCAGGGAAAGGATCTGTCCATCGGGGCCAGGCTGCAAGCCCTGCTGGACACCTCACCAACCCTCTCCTCTTACTCGCGGGATTTCAGAAATCTCCCTGTGCGCAGACATCACCCGCACCGGCAGCGTGAAGCTGACCAGAGCCGTGAAAAATCAGGTAACCTGCACCCGAATGCTCTTCCCCTGTGGTGCCCCTTGTGGTGGTGATGTGAACAGCAACGTGTCCCGTGTCCCATGCTAACTGTGAGAGACACAATTTAAGAAGACAAAGAAGAAAATGAACAAGGCCTGGTGGCACACGCCTGTATTACCAGTACATGGGAGGGTGAGGCAGGAGGATCGCGAGTTCAAAGCCAGCGTAGACTGAATAGTGAGGCCCTTTCTCATAAAAACAACACAGCAGCAACAATAGCAACAGTCACTGGTGACAGTTTGATTTCTGTATTTCTCATCATTTTTAAAGACCGATTGTGGATCCATGGAATGTGTGGGCCTATAAGCTGAAATATAAGTCACTCGGTTAACACACAGCAGAGAAAAAAAATCAGTAGACAGGTGAGGCTCTGGCTCAGAACTGCCCACCCCAGACTTTAATGACAGTTGGGACAGATTACCACTGTGCCACCTGCAGGGGTGAGGAGCAGAGAAAGGAAGGCAGGCAGTGGGAGGTGTTGAAGGATAGGGTGGTGAGGGGTGCAGAAGGGTCCTTAAGACAACCTGGGGTTCATACTTTTTTTTTTTTTGCTGGTGGCCTGGGCGTAACTTAGGTTTCAACTTGTAAAAGGACTGAGGTCCCTTGTGGGGTCAGTTAAAAATGTGGAGAAGGGTCTGGGGGTGTAGCTCATGGTAGAGTCTTTGTCTAGCATGATCGAGGCCCTGGGTTCCATCCCCAACACTGAAAAAAAATTAAGTGTGAGAAAGAATGGCCACTGTAAGAGTGTCATCCCTCCCGTCCCACCCTCCTGGGGCAAGCACTCTCTTTGAACACAGTCATCACTCCTGTGAACACAGTCATGGCTCTCCCCCCCAGGGCAGGGCCGCACAATTTGCCTTCATGTTGCTCAATGGTAACTGGCTGCTAAGAATAGCGCCCAGGCTTTGGGGGAACCAGTAGTTAGAGTTCACACACAGTAACTACTCAGATTAAAATCTTGACTTACAGATATTTGGCTCCCTTTGGTTTGTCATGCCAACAGTTTTTAAAAAGCTGTGAAAATCTACTTGACTTTCTTGGGCTCCTTTTTTTTTTTTTTAATGGCTGATCTGCATTTGGGGTGAACTAGTTTATGACTTTTAGAACAGGCAAAAATCCACTCTTGGGACCCAGGAATTGCTTTTTGTGGGAATGAGACAAGGTGCACAAGGCTGGGAGATGGGAGGGAAATCTGGCTCTGCCTCCCCCAAGGGTGTCCACTCAGGCTCCTGATCGCACCCTTTTTCTCCTGGTGTCCACAGAGGACCTGGACCTGGGGCCCCTGTGGACAAGGCGCCATCCTGCTGGTGAACTGTGACAAGGACAACCCCCAATGTTCTACCATGGACTTTGAAGATGATGAGGTGATGAACAGCAAAGGTGAGACCCTTCGCCAACGAAGGGGACGAGGATGTCACCCGTTCATGAAGCCCATTTGTTCACATGGCCTTGTTTCAGCCATCTGAAATTGGGGCTATTGAAAGCGTGCGCTTGTTAGCGTTCACTTTACAGAAGAAGAAATGGACAGTGTTCTGAGAGGGCAAGTGACTTGCCCAAGGTCACACAGCTGTTAGAGAAATGCTGGGGCCAACATGGAGCCTCCATGCTGGGTCCCTGTTCACCCCCAACATCTGCACTTGCCTTCGACCTATGACTTGAAATAAAAAAGAAAGCCACCCCCAAATCTTACCAGAGTGGCCCCTGAAACCCTGCCACAGGCCGGAAGTTCTCTGAGCACTTCAGAATGATCAACTCATTCAATCCTTCATTACAAAGCTTAACAGATGGGGAAACTGGGACAAGGAGAAGCTAAGCAACTCACCCAAGGCCCTGCAGCTGATCAGTAGCAGGCTTGGGACTTGATTTCAGGCGTACCGATTTGAGGGCAGGTTTGGGGGCACAGGGATGGTGGGGGTACAGGGTCTCTCTCTGCAGGACTCCTCTCAATGCTAGGGGAGCCGCTCTGCTGGCTAGGGAAGACGCATCGCCCACCCGCCCCAGGCCGGGGGCCAAGGCAGTGGCTGGGACTCCCGAGGGAGCATCTGGACAACACAGTTGTGTGCAGCTGGCCAGGCCTGGTGCCAGGGGCAGCCCGGCAGTGCCTGGCACCTGGTACTAATCTCAGGCCACGCTCTTCTCCTTCCAGACCTTCAGGACATGTCCCTGCTGATCCTGAGCACCAAGACCCCCAAGGACTTCTTTGGCAAGCATCAGCTGGTGCTGCACGTGGGCAAGGCTGAGATGTCCAAAGTGCGGGTGTTCCAGGTCACACGTGAGTCCCATCCTGGCCTTCACCTGCCATCCCCAGCACTGTCCCCATCCTCCTGCCTTTCCTGCCCCAGCCAGGGAAGCACCGGTCACAAGGATCCCTGAGCAGCGGGGACACACCTCGTGCGCACTAGGTTCTGAGAAGCAGGGACACAGCTGTGCGCCAGGCACACGTCTCTGTCCTCTACTTTCTGGACGAAAAGCACACCAACGTCATGTCCCAGGCTGGGAGCTCAGAGAAGGAAGCAACCTCAGCTTTCTCCTGAGGAACCCTCTCTCTCTCTCCTTTTCTCTCTCTCTCTCTCTCTCATCTGTACAGATTGGGAATGCAAGCTGACCGTGTGTGTCACACCATCGTTTATTCTAAAGCACTCTGCTAATCAAAGACAATCAGTGCCCACAGCACCGGCTGTGAAGCTCAGTTTTAAACACCTGACACAGAGCTATGAATGTGACAAAGTCCCTGTCCCCGTGTCACTTTCACCTTGGGCTGGGAGGATGACAGTAGAACACGCAGTGTGTCAAATGGTTTCTAGTGCTGTGTAGAACACGGCAGGGAGGGGTTGGGGGGTTGGGGGTGGAGCATGGAGACGGGGGTGTGGAGAGAGGTGCTCAGGAAAGGTTTCTTCCCACCCCTCAGGTGTCCTTAGAGCAGAAGCCACAGCCCAGCAGACACCTTGGGGAAGGGTGTCCCAGGCAGAGGGAATGGCAGAGGCAGAGGCCCCGAGGTGGGGTCTTGCCTGCTGTGGGCTTGAGGAAGGCCGAGAGACCAGCGTGTCTGGAACAGAGTCTGCAAGGGTTAAAGAGGTAGATGGAGGCTGGTATGGTGGTAAATGCCTATAATCCCAGCGCTCTAGAGGCTGAGGCAGGAGGATTGAGAGCTTGAGGGTTAGCCCAGGCTACATGGGGTAGATGAGGACAGAGAAGAAAGGGCAGAGCAAAGAGGCAGATCAGGGGCTCATGTTGACTTTGCTTCTGTGGCCAGGATATGGGTGAGGCCAGTTTGACCGACTCCCTTCTAGTCTCAACTAGTAATTACCGCTGACTTCTTGCCTCCACCTAGACATCCCCTCCTCCAGGAAGCCCTAGGGGCTTCTCTCCACCACAGCATGCTAATCATGTCTGGTAGTTTAATAGAAGTCTTTGCTCCTCCCTATCACGCATGAGCGGGAAGACAGTGACTGTGTCATTAGTAGCCTCCTGCTCCCATCCCCTATTCAGCTGAGACCTGGCTAGAGTCGTTGCTCAGGAAGGAATGATGAATGACTGAATGAATGATGTAAAATCAGGAATGGCTCTACTGCCAGTCATCCCCTTCCTGGACCCCCAGCCAGGGGAGCAATGTCCCAGTTGGGCCTTTGATCCCTTTCTCCTACAAATCTGGCTGGTGATATGTGGGGGGAAGGGGAAGGGACTGGTACCAGGAAGGAGATCAGGCTCTCACAGTGGGGCCCAGACCTGACCCTGCTCTGATCTTGTTTAGGGAGCAAGCTGCCCCCCAGGTTCAAGGTGGTCCTGGGGCCCCAGCAGCCCTCTCACCGCCTGAAGCTCCCAGGGGGCCAGCACAGCATGGATTTCTACGTGGAGGGCCTCGCCTTCCCGGATGCTGGCTTCTCGGGGCTCATTTCCCTGGGTGTCTCCCTGCTGGACACATCCGACCCGGTAGGCCAAGCCAGGAGGAACAGGGAAGGGGGAGCTGAGGCCGGCTGGGAAGTGGCAGGTGTGGGCCCCGGCTGCCTCACTCCCCTTCTCTCCCCTCCTCTGCAGGAGCTCCCTGATGCTCTGCTTTTCCAAGACAGCGTGGCCTTCCGGGTGGCCCCCTGGATCATGACACCCAACACCCAGCCCCCCCAGGAGGTGTACGTGTGCAGGTGAGGTGCTGGTGGGTTGGGGCTTAGATGTAAGATGTATCCCCTCCCAGTTGAGGGCTCTGAGATCTGGGTGCAGCACTTGCTGTATGAATGGGACAAGCTTACTTCCTGCCCTACTGAGAATTTTTGCCTTGTTCAGGACCATAAAAATTGTCACTACTGTTATTGTCACTATCCTGGCCTGACGAGACCTCTGCTAGCTCCTGGGGGCCCACAGAGGTTGTTAGACCTGGAGGATCAGACACCACCATCCCTCATCCCCAATCCAGGCTTCTAGATCTCCTCAGAGCATGGCCTGTCACCTCCCAAACCAGCCAGAAGTTCTTGGGGACGTGTTTAAATACACCTTCCTGGCTGACCACTGAGCCAGGTCTCGTCTCTGGGGACAGGGTCCATTCTGGGAAGGCCCAGGCACACCCCCTGCAGTCAGACAGCCTCTGGTGCCCTCTGGGTCTCGGAACCCTCTCCTCCATTTGCTTCAGGGGCAGAAGTGGGGAGAGTGTAACACTGGGGTCAGGACATAGGCCAGAAGCCAGCATGGCTGGGCTCAAACCAGGCTGCCTGCAGGTGGTGTGGACTTAGCAGTGACCTTGGCTCCCCTGTCCCCCCACACTCCTATCATCCTCCTTCCCCAATTATTCTGAGGACTCAGTGAAGCTGACGTTTCCCAAAAGCAGAGACAGGAACTAGGAATCTCTGTTCAGGCCTCAGGCAGCTCTGGGGCCCTGGGTCACCTCCCCCACCCAGGCCTGAGTGCCAGATCCCAGAGCTGTGAGGTGCCACCTTCCTGCTCTTCCTAGGATTTCTGAAAATGAAGACTTCCTGAAGTCGGTGACTGCCCTGGCCAAGAAAGCCAAGTGCAAGCTGACCGTGTGCCCCGAGGAGGAGAACTTGGATGACCAGTGGATGCAGGTAGATGGCACTGAAGGTCGAGGGACACCTCGGGGCCCTGTGCTCCTGGGGCTCAGCTTAGCGCCTCGCTGGCCATGCTTCCTCAGGTGGACAGGGAGGCAGGAGCCCCTGAGTATCCTCGGCAGGCCACTCCTCTCCTCTAGCACTTTCTATGGCTCCCATCTCCTGCTCAGCTTGCTTTCAGGCCCTCCCAACCTCACAGCCTCCCTTGCCTGGTGGTGCCAGCCTGCCACCTTGTGGGCAACACCTCATTGCCATTCTTCTTCTGTGCCAGTGTCCTCCCAAATGCCCCAGAGACAGACTGGGTCCCTTCAGCTGTTCTCTGTGTCCCTCACTGTGCTCCCATCCCCAAACCTTTGCCTGTCCTGCCTTCTTTCTGGGGCCCCCCACTCCCGCCGCCCATGTCCCAGGCATAATCATCGAACGCCAGCCTGAAGGCCACCCCTCCATAACTTCCCATCCCTCTTCCTTCTAATCCCCAAGTGCCACCCTGCCTTCCTGTGTCACTACAGCTTTGCGATGCTAGTTGGTCTGTGAGAAACTGCTGATGGCCACCCACCGTCTTTCACCTGAAAGCAAGGAGGTGGCAGAGAGCTCCACCTGCTGGTGACTTGTGACAGTGACGGGTCCCCTAGTCACCTGCCTGCTGGGGAACCAGCCCTGGAGGCAGGATATGCAGAAGATTCACCTCTGAACCCCAGTCCCACAGGGCTGGCCCCTGCCTTGCTGCCTGGCCTTGGGGAGGGCTGCTGTCACTCACCTGGGCTCAGCTCAGCAGTCCTCCCACCTGGACATCTTCTGCGCCATCTCAGCCCCCTCAGCACCCCCAGCACCAGGTGCTCACTGCCGGCCAATCTGGCTCTCTCACTTGAGGACGGGGGTCCCTGGGGACAAGTCTCAGTCGCCTCCACTCCAGCTTCGGGAAGGATAGGGCCATCTGTGGTTTCCCAGCTGTGCACAGTGTCACACAGGGATTTGCTCCAATCACAGGGGTGAACGGGGGCAGCCGTACCCCATCCTGTTACTGGGTGCAACACGTGGGTAGCGCGGGCCGAAGCCTCCTTCCACTTCCTCCCCCAGGATGAGATGGAGATCGGGTACATCCAGGCCCCGCACAAAACACTGCCCGTGGTCTTTGACTCCCCGAGGGACAGAGGCCTGAAGGACTTCCCCATCAAGCGTGTCATGGTAGGTACCTGCATGATGGCAGGGGCTCGGCCACCAGAAACCTCACATTGAGGTCCCGCTCATCTCCCCTAACCCACAACCCAAGCCGGCTCCCCAAAGCCAAATTCCTGCTCCAGTGGGATCAGGTGGGCGGCACCTGTCATTTTTTTCTCATTAGCCTGGCAAGGTCTGGCTCTTCACTTCCCAAAGCACATGCTACCGGTGAGCTCAGCTTGTCCTTGAGATGACCCTGCATGGCCAGCCCAGTGTGGTCATCCTTGGTCTATCTGAGGGGGCATGGCCAGCTGCAGGCCCTGGTCTTCTAGGTGGGACTTGGCCTTCAAGGGCTGCACTGGGGATGTGGGGACTTTAGAATCAGTGGTGATTTCCTAGGTCTGACTTTATCAGCCAAAGACTCCATGTGTGGGGGTGGGAGGTGACATATTGGTGAGTCATGCTTGACTAGCTTGGTAGATTGATGCAAACTCAGCACAGAGGATAATAATGAGAATTAATAATAATAATAAACAGTTGTATTTATTCAGTATGCACTCTGTCAGTCCCCGTGCTGACTTTCTTACCTGCTCTGACTCATTTAATTTGACAACCATCTCTGGAGATGTTATCAATGGATCCATTTTGCAGATTAAGAAACTGAGGCTGGGAGTGGAAAAGTCAGAATTCAAACCTGGGCAGCTCAGCTCCAGGGGGCCACCTGCCTCCCTGCCTTCCCAGGAAACCTCCAGCCTGCACACTGAGCCCTGCCACCCAGCAAAAGCAGAGGAAGGAGTGTGGGGTACAGGGCTGGTTGTGACATGGGGTTTTCCAGGGAGCATTCTGCACCCCAGGGAAGGGGAGGCAGCCCTGCCCACTCAGGAGACTTGGAATGAGACTCAGTGCAGTCAGCTACCGGTCACACTTCCTCCTGGTCACACCCTACGCTGAGCAGTGGAGAGAGACGCTGTGAACTCCCCATGTTGCTTGGCCAGGAAGTCAAGTTCATGCCGTTTCTTGGCACAGGGTTCTATCAGTCAGCTGCAGCCTTCTGTGGCCACATCTCCTACACTTTCTCAGTGTGACAAAAGCTGGATTCTCTGATGTAACAAGCAAAAACTCAAGTGTCCTGCAGGACGGAAAACAGACCCTCAGCACAGATGTTGCTCTCTTTCCTGCACATGACATCGAGTGAAGGGAGGCTGCATGGTTCCTTCTAGGCACATCTGCAGTATTCTGACCCAAATCATTCCCAGTGGAAAGAATTAGAATAAAAACCAAACCATCACCTGTCTCTCCAACATCCTTATGGGCCACTCTCCCTGTCCCTCACCTGGCTGCAGCCCTGCTGTGCTCCTTCCTATGCTCCAAGTGTGTCTGGCTTTCCCTGACCACAGGGCTTTTGCATATGCCATTCCCTCTGTTCTTCCCCATTCTGGGGCTGGCTATTCTTGGCTTTCAGGTCTCCATGTCGGGGCCTTCCCTCATGCCGAAGGAAACCCACCCAGCCCAGCACTGTGGACTCCGGCACCCTGTTCCTTTCTTCTGGAGTATTTTCTTACAAATCTCTGCATTGCTCATTTTCTTTGTGTCACCTGCCTGCCCTGCTAGGCAGGGGCTGGGCTTGGGGCTGACGTGCTGTCACTAGCATGTCACTAGCGGGTAGCTGGTTCTCAACCTGACATACAGTGGTATTGTTTCTGGGAGACATTAGTAAATTTCATTTCGCTGTTGTGAGAAACGGGTGACACTTGGCATAAAGGATGCCACTGTTAGGTTAAACAGAATTCAAACAAAATGCTGCTATTATCAGCCCGACACAAACGACTGAAAAGACTGAGCTCGTTGGCCACTGGGCACCGGCAGCTCAAGCCTGTAATCCTAACTCCTTGGGAGGCTGAGATCAGGAAGATTGAGGTTTGAAGCCAGCCCTGTTTTCACTGAAAACAGTTCTCAAGACTATCGCAAAAATAACCAGCACAAAACAGCTGACAGAGTGGCTCAAGTGGTAGAGCGCCTGCCTAGCAAGTGTGAGGCAGGCCCTGAGTTCAAACCCCAGTACTGCCAAAACAAACAAACAAACAAAAGATTAGTGTAGCATCTGAGATACTGGGAATCTTCTCAGGTCTTAAAGGGAGGAGCATTGTGTAATGAGATAAGGTGCTGTGAGCTGAGAGTAGATGGTGGCGGGGCAGCAGTGGGGAGCACAGCAGGGAAGGGCAGGTGCAGGAGGAGGTGGGTCAGGGCCCCAGAGTTTTCTGACCGGTGTCAAAGAGATGAGCCAAAGGTGGCAGCTGGCTGTGACCAGTAAGAGGCAGGCACTGTCCCCTGAGAGGGGATGACCATCAGGGGAGTGGGCTGGTGGTGGGGATGAAGAATCGGTCGCTGTGCACTGTGTGGGGGGCAGGTGGGCAGCTGGCAGAGATGCCCGGTGGTAGGAGAGAAGGAGAAACTGGAGGTGTAATGCAGGCTGACAGCCTGTGGATGGAATTTCACGGGTGAGGTGAGACCACCCAAGGAGCCAGCAGAACTAGGGAACAAAAGACACCACAGACTGGGCCTGTCCCTGCCCCATGCCAAGGTAGCATGGCAAGGTAGGAAGTGAGCCGAACATGGTGGTTCATACCTATAATCCCAGCTATTTGGGAGACAGAGGCGGGAAGACAGCAATTCAAGGCCAGCCTGGGCTAAGTTATCCAGACCTTGATTCAAAAACAAAATACAAATGAAAGGACTAGGGCACAGCTTACATGGTAGAGCACTTGACTGCACTAAGCCCTGGGTTTAAACCCCAGGTAGGATGTAACCAAGAGCCCAGTGTCCTGAAAGCCAAGTACAGAAAGCGTGCCAAAAACACAGGTGCAACCAGCTGACTTGTACCACTGGTGGCAAGAACACGAGGCCTGGCACGACCCTTGAGTCCAGCTTCGTGGTGACGAAGACCATGCCACAGCAACTGGCCTGGTGGAGGTGCGGAAAGCAGACTTGTAGGAGGAAGGGCGAGAGGAACAGGCAATGGTGCATTTTAAATTCACATAACCCCAGACCTCCTGGGGATGTTTCGTCTTCCCAGGAACAACACCTACTTCTGTTCTCATTGGTTACACAACGGGAATCGACTCTTGGGGTGTCCACAGCCCCATGAAGCCCCAGTACAGAGCACTGATCTGTAGGTGGCTGGTATGGGGGTGCAGCTTCCAGGGGTGATGCACTGACAGGGTCCTCTCCAGGATGTCCTGGCCCTAATCGCAGGGCCTGATGCCCCTGGTTGGCAGGAGAGACTTTGTAAGGGTGTGAAGGTGGGGTCCTGGTGGGTTCTGTGTGACCCTAAGACCCAGATAGGAAGGAGGAGAGGGTTGGTGGGAGAGACATGGGGTGACAGAAGCAGAGAGAGGGAGGTTGTGAGAGGTTGGAGAAGGAGCCACAGCACTGGTGGCCACGAGGCACTGAAAAGTGCCAGGAAAGGGGTTCGTCCTCCAGAGCCATGGGGAGGGGCCGCCCTGCCACTCTTGACTTTGGCCCATGAGCTGATTTTAGACCTGTGTTATTTTAGGCTTCTGTCTTGCTGGCAGTTTGTTCCAGCAGGCACAAACAAGCATGGGGTGAGGTGTGTCTCCCGCTCCTCCTATGAAGACCCGTGGGGAGAGGGTGCAGCCATTCTAAGATGGGGACCAGGGGCACTGGCCACTGGGGCAGCTCAAATCCCCATCCCTCCACAAACTGGCCTGTCACCATCACCACCCAGAGCTCAGTTTCTCCTCAGCAAAATGAAGACTGAAGTGATAGTTTGCAAATTTTGTTAGTGGCTCAAGCAAAGCTTTAAGAAGCTGCTGGCATGCACCAGAGACCCAGCCAACGTGAGTCCCTTTCCTTGCCCAGTGACTCGATTTGATGTCCCTTCTGTACTCCAGAAATCACAGCGGCACCTGCTCCAAACCTGCCACCGCCACCACGGAATTCCTTCCCGTGATCAAGTTCATCTTTAAGCTTGCACCCTCCCTGTCTCCACCCAGGGACCCGTGTCTAATTCTCACGCCTGCTCACCTACCTCAGGGTCCAAATTTTGGCTATGTGACCCGGGAGCTCTGCACAGAGGAAGTCACTGGGCTGGACGCCTTTGGGAACCTAGAGGTGAGCCCCCCAGTCACCGTCGGGAAGAAGAAGTACCCACTGGGCAGGATTCTTATCGGGAACAGTGGTTACCCCAGGTAAGGAGGGAAGGGCACGGGGGGTGGGGGACAGGACCCAGGCTGCCCCAGAAAGCGGAAACCAAGGAGGAAGCCTTGCCTACCCACGCCAGCCCAGGAGTCAGGGAGTGGGAGAGGGAGAGGAGTCCAGCGCACGGTGAGGAACACCGCTCTGGAGCCCAGCGGGCCCGAGTTCAAGTCCTGCACTGTCACTTACGTTCTGCCTGGGGGTGAATTATTTACTGAGGCTCTACTGTGTAGCAAGGTTGCAGCTGTGAATTTGACAGACAAGTCCCTGACTCTGGTAGAGACTCATCATGAAAGGTAAACAAATAATTCAAATAGTGACAAAAAAAAGGAAGGGTAGAGGAATGGGACCTGTATTAGGGAGCCCAGAGAGGGCCTGTCTAGGGAAGGGGCTTTCGAGCTGAGGCCTGATGACAAGGAGAACACGGCCACGTGGAGATCTGGGATGGAGTGTCCTGACATATGAAAGAGCACATACGAAGGCCCTGGGGCAGGAACGAGATTGGTGTGATCAAGAAAGCCAGGGTGGGCGGAACAGACTAAGTGAGAAAAAGAGCGAGGGGCTGAATCACGTAGGGCCTCCCGGGAGAAAAGAGAGGCTCAGATTGGGGGTAGAATGTCCCCAAGGCATGTTTAGCCATCACAACGACACCTACCTAGGCTGATTCAACAGGCAGTGCTTTCTGAGGCTAGGTTCTGGTCTTTACTGACCGTGCCTCGGTTTCCCCCAGTGGAATAATAATTCTGAAGCACCTCAGATTGGGGGGGGGGTTGCACTGAGAGCTGTCCAGGGTCCTGACTCCCTTCCCTAGCAGACTCCCACTGCTCTCCAAGCCCAGCCCCTGGGCACCGCCTGCCACCTGCCCTCCCTGGTGGCAGTCCTTACCCTGCAGCACCGAGAGTCGGGATATGCACCAGGCTCTGCAGGATTTCCTGGACGCCCAGCAGGTGCAGGCCCCCGTGAAGCTCTACTCTGACTGGCTGTTCGTGGGCCACATAGACGAGTTCCTGAGCTTCACGCCAGCACCAGACAGGAAGGTATGGTCCGGGGTTGCCTCGTGCCTGCGGCCTGGGCTCCCAGGCCAGCCTCTAGCGTGGGGTACCGACCTCACGTGCCTGGGGGGGGATGGAGAAGGTGGCTGGCCCATCCTGTCCCCACTCCCCACTCCCAGCAGAGCCTCCTCCAGAGCCCTCTGACCCCAGCTCTCTGTCCCCAGGGCTTCCGGCTGCTCCTAGCCAGCCCCAGGGCCTGCTACAGGCTGTTTCAGGAGCAGCAGAAGCAGGGCCACGGCGAGGCTGTGCTCTTCGAAGGGGTTAAGAGTAAGTGTGCCCTGCCTTGTCCTTCTGCATGGGGGTCATGTGGTCTCCTACTGCCGGGTTTAGTATCCACCTATTGGGCACCAGGCACTGTGCCAGATGCTGGGGATGCTGTGCCAACAGGGCAGAGAAGCTCCCAGAAAGGCAATAAGACCACTACAACAGGAGCGATGGGGGGCTTCCTGGAGGAGGCAGAGGCCATGAGGGATGAACAGGAGTTGGTCAGGCTGATGGGGCAGTGAGTCAAGAGGAAGGAGAAAGACAGAAGGAAATTGCAGACAGAAGGAACAACAAATGCAAAGGCTTAGAGGCAGCAGAAAGTGAGAGTGATTGAGGACCTGAGGAGGATCAGGTACTGTGATTCATGCCTGTAATCTCAGGCGGTCAGGAGACAGAGATCAGGAGGATTGAGGTTTGAGGCCAGCTCAGGCAAAAACTTAGCAAGACCCCAATCTTAACAAATAGGTCAGGTGTAGTGGTGCAGGCTATAATCCCAGGTTGGAGGACCTCAGTCTCAGGTTGGCTCAGAAAAATAGTGAGACTTTATCTAAAAAAATAACCTAAAACTCTGGGTGCAGGTGGCTCACACCTGTAATCCCAGCTACTCAGGAGGCAGCAATCAGGAGGATCACAGTTCAAAGCCAGCCCAGGCATGATAGTTTGGGAGACCCTATCTTGAAAAAGCCCTACACAAAAAAGGGCTGGTGAGATAGTTCAAGGTGTAGGCAATGAGTTCAAGCCCCAGTCCACACAAAAGAGGAAAAAAAAAGGCTGGGGCATGGCTCTAAGTTCAAACCCAGTACCGTCAAACAATCAAAACCTAAACAAACCAAAACACCAGTTCAGTGCGACAGGGACCCAGGGTGCAATGCTTTTCTCAGTAAATTCCACAGGCGCGGGCTGGGTTAAGAGGCTGTTTTTACCTGGTACGTAGCAGGGTGTGCGGAACCGGCTGCTAACCTGTCTCCTTTTTCTTTTCATTTTTTGCACTGCTGGGGATGAACCTGGGGTCTCACACACGCTAGACAAGTGCTCTGCCACTGAGCTGTGCCCCAGCCCCCGCTTCTTCCTCCTCTATAAATGGGCTCTCTTTGCAGATAAGAGAATTCCAGGGAATGAGGGTAACATTTTGAGTGAGAATTTTCACTGCTTGCACACCCCTGTGTGTTGGGAGCCCTCACTGCACCCATTTTACAGATGGGAACACTGAGTCCTCACTGCACCTGGCAAAAGGCAAACTCCACCTCTGAATTCATTTGCATGCTTTTCTCTTTTCTCTCCATGACAGAAAAAAAACAGAAAAAAATAAAGGACATTCTGTCAAACAAGAATCTGAGAGAAGAGAACTCCTACGTGGAGGTAGGTGTCAAATCCTGGGCAGACCTGTCACCTGCCCTGTCACCTGCCACAGGACAGGAGCTTCACAGCTGTGTGCTAGCTTGGCACAGGCTGAGAGCAGGAGGGGATCACGAGGTCTCCAGGAGAGCTGGCTGGTGGCCCTCTGTGCCCGTCACCGTTACCTGTCCCCAGCCCCAGTCCTTCCTGCACCCTGGCCCCATACTGTCCCATTCCCCTGACCCCAGCGCTGCATCGACTGGAACCGTGCCGTGCTGAAGCGGGAGCTGGGCCTGGCTGAGGGTGACATTGTGGACATTCCGCAGCTCTTCAAGCTCATGGGGAACTCCAAAGGGACCCTCAAGGCCGAAGCCTTCTTCCCAAATATGGTGAGGAGGTGGCAGCCCCCGGTCCTTTGCAAATGGCTTTGATCCCCAGGGAGCAACCTGGAGGTGGCACGAGGCTTGGCTCTGTTACCTCAGGGTTTGCTGGGCCTCGCACAGATTCCACAACAAGGCCAGGGTCACTGTGGTCATCTCTGCGTCCCAGATAAGGTGCAGAGGTGAGGTCTGTGCACAGAACACACAGCTGCGAGAGATGGGAGCAGAGCAGGGCTTCAGGCCCAAGCGCTGACCCCACTGGCTCTGAGGTTCCCCACCTTCCCTGCAGGGATCAGGGACAGGCAGGGGTCATGCCACAGACAAGGTGTCCTCAGGTCACACCAGGCGCCATGAAGAGAAGATGCCTTAGACTGGCTGGGGCTGGATTCACTTTGTCCAGGACTCAACTGTGACCCCAGCACGATCCTGATGTGACCTACTATACCTGGACCAGGCCTGGCCTGGGCTTCCTTCTCCTCAAAGAGCACCCTCGGGCCAGCTGCAGACTGCACCCAGTTCTTCGGGCTGGAGTTCGCAGCCCAGGAAGGTGTCAGCAAGCCCTATACAGCAGCTTTCAAACTGGGTTCCCCTGGACCCAGAGGTTCCAAGGCAGTGCCTCAGATCTGGTGCCTCGGAACATCTCTTGTGTGCATTGTGCTGCCACAGAAAATTCTATTTTAAATGAAGCCTGCCTTGGCCTAAAGGAAGCTGGCGTCACCCCACCCTGGTACTTTGGATAACACTGTTTGGCCTCAAGGGCTTCTTGCACGATATACAGTGGTCGCCGATGCCTGGGGATAAGGCAGCTCAGGGGAGCGACCCGCCTGAGGAAGCCTGGCTGTTCGCCTGCCTTGTTGGAGGCCCCTCAAGGGAACCTGAGCGTAAGACAGGACCGGTTCTCAGGAGCCTATGCAGAGCAGGTAGAGGACATCTGTGACAAAGAATGAGATGCCCCTTAGAGGACTCACGACCTACAGATGGTGGCTGTGCACCTACTGTGTGCCAGCACCGTGCCGTGCATACCTGTTCTTCTCTACCTGTCATAGTCACAGACATTTGGGTTCATTTTGCTGATGAGGCTCAGAGAGGGGAGGTGACCTAAGGTCACACAGCTATCAGGAGCAGAGCTGGTATTCAAATCCACACTGGCCCAGTCAATATTCTTAACCTTCCACTTCCTGGTGGAACAGAGGAGACAGTTGTCACTGTCATTCACGTGGAGGCTACAGCAGTGGACAACTAGCAGGTGCCTACTGTGTGCTGGCCACCATTCTGGGAGTTATGGGAGCCTGGAGAAGGAGTGACTGTGTCAGAGTTCAGGGGCTCACGGTCAGATTTGCAGAGCTGGGCCGCCAGTGATGGAGTTTTGCAGAAGGTGGCCAGTGGGAAGGACAGCTCTGTGTTAAGAGCTTGGACCCTAAAGTCCAGCAGAGTGTGTAAGCTCCACACTCCCTGGATGCCTCGGAGGACTCACTTGATCTGCCAGACCTCAGCCTCACCTGTAAAGTGGGGCTCTTGTGTCTGAAGGTCAGAGGAGGGAGGGGACACTTGGATGACCACAAGGGCTGCACACTGCGCCTCTGACCCAGGCCCCCCTTCTCTGCAGGTGAACATGCTGGTGCTGGGGAAGCACCTGGGCATCCCCAAGCCCTTTGGGCCCCTCATCAATGGCCGCTGCTGCCTGGAAGAGAAGGTGCGTTCCCTGCTGGAGCCGCTCGGCCTGCACTGCACCTTCATTGACGATTTCTATGCCTACCACGTCCTGCACGGGGAGGTCCACTGTGGCACCAATGTGCGCAGGAAGCCCTTCACCTTCAAGTGGTGGCACATGGTGCCCTGAGCTGCCTCCCCTGGCAGCCTCTCTTAGGCTCCCTACTGGCCAGAGGTGGCCCCTGCGGGTGGCCACAGCAAGAGTTCTGGGGGTGGTTGGACTCCCTGGGGGTGGCCAACCCTCACAGCAGTGGCTTCCTTCATCCTGGCCCCTTTGCACATTCCAAGATGGTCCTCACATTACAAACAGCTGTACTCAGAGAAGCTGCAATAAAGGTTTTTATCACTTTCTACATGAGGTCACGGAGCTGTCCTGTCATTCACTTCTCTGCTCACCTGTCATGGTGGAGTTGACTGGTACAGACTCAGGAGAGGAATCAGGATGTGTTGAAAGCCAATGTTATTGGGAGTATCTTTTGCTCTCTGCCATACATCTGGTCTATAATATCTCACACGACCCCAGGTGGTCTGAGCCTCTCCTAGAACCCTTCTAGGGAGCCAGGTGTGGTAGTACACACCTGTAGTTTCGGCTACGCTGGTGGCTGAGGCAGGAGGATCACCAGTTCAAGGTCAGCCTGGACAAAGTTAGGGAGACCCCATCCCCAACACTGAAAAAATTAACAAGCCCATCCGGGAAGGGGAGGAGGAGGCGGAGGACCCAGTCCCCCCTGAGGAAGCAGAGAGCCTCCCTCTTTTTTGGTGCTTAGCACAAGGCAAAGCACACACCTACTCGAGCTACATCCCAGCCAAATTGAAATCAGTTCCCTGGGTGTTCACTTGATTATTTGCTTCAATGTATGTGTGTCCATAAGGTTCGTCCCTCTGTATGTATATTTCCTAATAAAAAACATGGAGGCTCAAGGAGAACTTCTGCCTAGCAAGTACCAAAGCCCTGAAGTCAAACACCAGCGCCACCAAAACAAAGCCAATACTTGTGCCTTGTGTATACCGATGGGAGAGCTTTTCTCCAGCCATACCACGAAGTGAGAAAAAAGCAAGGTGAGGAACACTAGGTATACACATTCTTATTTATGCTTGAAAAAACAAAAAGAAGGGCTGCAGATGTGGCTCAAGTGGTAGAGCGCCTGCCTAGCAAATGCAAGGACCCGAGTTCAAACTCCAATACCATCAAAACAAAACAAAACAAAAGCTTGCCTTGAAATAATATATTATAAGAATCCAGGCTCAGTCGAGACGGACAGCAGAGTAAATAGGGCACAGCAGCTCTCCCCACCCCCATTCATTCCACCCATGTGTGCTTTTCCCTGCTGGTGACACAGCCGTGAGCAACTAGCTCACCCTGATTACCTGGGGATAAGATGCAGGTTCCTGGTCCCCACCACGACCTGCCAGGCCCAGAAATTTGCAAGGTTAACAAGCTCCCCTGGTCATTTTCCACTGCATCCTAGAGGGCCACCGGTCCAGCACCCAGGCGCTGCCATCCTGACTTTGATCCCCAGCTGCTCCTGCAGATATTTGCCCCTGACAGCTTCCAGCTGAGTCCTCCGGCACCTTGCCTGGTCCACGTGCCAGCTTCCCAGAGCCCCTCTTGCTCCCAGCTGAAGGCCGGGACCAAAGCAGCCAACCTCAGACTCCCCAGCTTGCGAGTCCACAGACACGAGCTGTGATAAAACCATGCCGAAGGGGTATTGCCCCACCTGCTGCCCTGAGCTGCCCACAGCCAGCAGGAAGCCCCGTGGCGAAAGGCAGTCACACCTGGGTGGGGGCTGAAGCCTCCCACCCCTTAACAAGGGGGTGGGGTAAGGGGGCCCTAACTCCATAACAGGGGAGGGCAGACGAGCGCCAGGGTCTTACAAGGCCACTGTGCTGAGTGAGAGCCGTGGTGTGGGCTAAGGGTAGTGAGCTCAGACAGTCGTGCCATGTCCTTCCAGACCACCGTCTGCCTGTCCCTGGACACTCCTGCCCGTGCCGTCTGTGTCCTGGGAGTGGAGATCAGCTTGGACCTCAGTGGGTGAGGCAGAGGGCCTACTGACGGGCAGGCTGGGCTGCGCTGGGCGAGGCAGGGCCAGGGTGGCACCAGCTCACCTGCCCTGGGAGTCAGGGGCTACTTTTCTGTGACTCCCTGTCCTGCCCTGTATCAAGGAGTCCAGCTTGGGGCTCTGGTCCCACCAGAGGACACTGGCTCAAGTATCTCTACCGGGTGCTTGTTGTGCGGCCTTAGGGAGGCGAGGGCCTTGGCTCTCCCGGCCCCTTGGCTGTAAGGTGAGGCTGAGGCTGGCTCTGGAGGTGGCTATGAGGTGTAGGTGAGGGAGCCTCAGTGTGGAGATGACTCACTCACAGTCACGTCTTTCCCAGGGTCCCAGCGTGGACCTCGGGTATCCTGTGTCCTGCTCGTTTTCCCTTCAGAGAGCTTTATGGATCCGCAAATGCTCTTTGGAGATGGAGTCCTATAAATAAGATAGCGCTCTGGTGACTTCTGGGCCTTGGTGGGAGGGAAGGGTCTGGACTGAGCATGTCAAAGCAAGAATAGGGGTCCTTGGATGGGGTTGTGGTAGCAGTAAGGCTGAAGTTGTTAGGACCCCAAACCTGACCAGCAGGCCTTTGAATCAGCCCCCATCCTGAGGAGGACAACATGGGGACAGCCCCTACTTTCCTGCTACCTCCCAGGCTGAGAAGGTGAGTTCTGCATCCTAACGTGTCTCCTAACGTGTTGGGCAAACCAGGTGTGCCCCCAAGAACTGTGAATCCTTCACCATCCAAGCCTCTCCGAGGGTCTGCATGGATGTCTCTGGCACGGTCATCACCGGGAGGGACACCGAAGTCTGGCGGCCCCTGTCCAATCCCATGAACGCGCTGGTGAGGATGGTCTCACCTAGCCCTGCCGTGGATGAGGACAAGGTGAGCCTAGGCTGAGGTAGGGGGCAGCTCCCTCTGCACCACCATCGCAGCTGGTGCCTCAATGGCACCAAACTTGTTCTGAAAGTTAGAACCCCCAGTACTTTGTAACACCCCCTGCCTATTCAGTATGGCACGGGCAGCAGCCTGGCCTCTGTAGTTTGAGTTTCCTCCAGGTGGTCCCAGCATGGAGCCTACGAGTGCCACCTCAGGACTTGGGGGCATGGCTGGGTGGCAGGTGGGCAGTACACATGCCCATCCACGCTCTGTGCCCATGCAGATGAATCTCTAAGAGGCAAGCAGTGTACTCTGCTGAGAACTGAACATCTCATGGGTAAGCAGTGAGGCTGTGATATGTCCCAGCTGGGCCCACACCACCTGAAAGCACCCAGAGCTCAGCCTCCAGCACCACCAGGACGGGGCAGCAGAGTGAGGCCCTCCAACCTTAGAGGACTGATGCTTCTTTTCAGAAACAGGAGGTGGCCCACAAGCATATCGAGCCTCTAGTTACTGGTTGGGTCTCTGGTTCAGGACGAAGGTCAAGGCCAGAGCTAAAGGACGGGTCCCGAAAGTGGAAAGGCTAGTGTGTGACATGTGAAATGCTGAACCAATTCTCATCCCCATCCTAGGTGTCTCTTCTCCCCTCAGTGAGCAGTTGAGCCATCAGAGACCGCTATCTCTGATGGGGACGTGGAGGACAGGATGTGACAGAGCTTGGGCTCCAGTGCTGACAGCCTAGCACCTGGCTCTGGTCTCCATGCCTCTCCTTCCCTCCTGAATGCTGCAGGGCAGGTGGCTCCATCCTGTCTGTGGGGTAGAGACCCCACTTGGAGTGGCAGTTGTAAGCCTAGAGGTAGAAGTGCTCAGAGGGGTTGTGGCATGCTGAGTGCTTAAGGGGCTTATCTACTTAGTCCTAAGCTAGAAGCTCAGATAGTGAACCATGAGACCAAGGTCAGGTGCCTTGACCTGCAGCTCTGATCTGTCCCCACGCTCACGGGTCCTGGGTGCTGTCTCCACAGGTGCTGGTGTCTTACTACTGCCCCAGGGAGGAGGTCCCCACGGCCTCAGCTGTGCTGTACCTCACCGGCATTGGTGAGTCTGGCTCCCACCAGAGGCAAGCTCAGCAAGAGGGCCAACAGGGGCCCCCCTTAATCAGATGCCTTCTGGGGCCCCAAAAAGATTCATTCGTATGTACCCACTTATATCCCTAAGCTCGGTCACCTCTCCTCCCTCCTCCTTGAGGGCTGACCTAACTTTCTGAGAATAGGAGCCACCAGAACTTCCGCGAGTTACTGTCATCTACCCTCCTCATCCCTGATAACCTGAGTTTTGCCTCTCTTACGTTCCATGGTGTCTGGTTCAAGGTTAATCTACGTTGTCTTGGGAGATCCCTTTCCTTCTCGTCCAGGAACTTCCTTTGGCAATTCCTACTGATGGAAGAAGCCACGCCCCCTCAGCCTTTCTCTTCTGGGCTGTTCTCATCAGGCCAGGACCATGCTGCAATGTCGGCTCTAAAAACGGATTCCATTACCTTTAATGTCATTCGCCTACCTCTCTGCCCTTGGGAACCAGCTATGTCCTTAGTGTCTCCTCCCTGAGTTTTAAACCAATTCTAATCGGACGTCCACCACCACTGCTCTGAGCAAGGACTCGACTCTCAAATCCAGTGGCCAGCTCCCTCTTTCTCAGCCTTGGCCTGCCAGTGCTATTCAATACAGCTGGCTGTCCCTTCTTGACACACTCCACCTGAAACTTTGGGGTCCTGCTCTCCTCCTACCTGTCCTTCCCAGGGTTCTTTGCTGGACCCTTCACCCTCAGTTGGCCAAAGAAGTATTCCAGGCTCGTGTGGTTCAACATGGGGCGTTTACACTACCACCCTGCCTCCGCCAGGCAGCCCCAATAAACCCCATGGGATATTGCCTAGCAAAACACAGCTTCTTGGGTATCTAACATCCCTGATCTGACTTTTCTCTACCTGCAAAACCTACTCCAGCAGCCTCCCCCACTGCAGTACATGGTGCCCATCCTCCTACTGTTCAGGCTGGTAACCTTGGTGGTGTCATCAGTCTCTCACCCCATGCCAAACTGTGAATCTTAGTGTCACCTTAAGCGTGTAACTGGAATCTAAGAACTTGCCCCTTCCGTACTCCTGCCCTGGTCCAAGTCCCTGTTCTCTCTCCGGGATCAGTGGCCATGTCTCCAGTGGGAGACTCTGGGCTTCTCTTGCCCTTCTGAGTTTTGTCTTGGCCTGGCACCCAAAGTGGCACTTTTGTAAGAGGACATCAGGCAGCACCTATTCAGTTTCAAGTCTTCCAACTGCTCTGTGTTAGGCAGATCAAAGCCAATGTCATCAATGCACATGCCACCTCTGACCTTATTCATCGCTCCTCCCCCTCACCAGTTCTGAGCACCATTGGCCTCTGCGACCCTTGTGCTGCTACTAATGCCTCTTACCTCAGATATTAACAAAGGTCCTTTTCTTGCTGCCTCCAGGTCTACTAAAATTTCAGTTAGGCTGGAGGTCTGAGTGCTTGCCTAGTATGCCCGAGGCCCTGGGTTCCATCCCCAGTACCACAAAAACCCTTCAACTTAAGCTTCCCTGATTACCTAAGCAGTAAGTGCCCCTTTCTCATAGCACTTACTGCTATTGCCATAAAGTGTGTCTACTTCCTGCCTCTGCTTCACCCTTACTAGTGTACAAAGCTCCAAAAAGACGGGGCTTGTGTCTTGCTACATCCCTAGCAGCCGGGCTCACGAGGGCACTGGGTCCCTGAGCATCTGTGCTGGGTGTTAAGGGTATGGCAGCAAAGGGCTGTGCTCACGACCCCGATGCCTGAGGGAAATGACACTTCAGATGACAAGGTCTAGGACCAAGACCAGGGTAAAGCCACAGAGCAGTCAACTACGGGAAGGGCTAGGAGGTCGGGTGCCATGGAAGAGGGCAAACCTTTGAACCTGGATCCTAATGTTCACATGGGGCTTGGAATTGCGGTGTATTGAGCCCTTCCTTTGCAGGTCTTAAAGTACAAAGATCTTTCTAGAATGCAGGGAGGCAGGCTTCCAAAGAGGAATCACCTGGGTAGAAGCCAAGAGGGATGAGATAGCATCTCAAGCTGTGAGTTCCTAGCTAGGGAGGATGGACGCGTGAACACTTTGCCTCTCTAGACTGGCTAACAAGAAACGGCCCACCTTTGAGGATGCCTTCTACGTCTAAACTGACAGTGTGCCAGAAAGGCTGGGTGACCGTGTCCTTCTTGGACAACAGCCTCTGGGCTCCATCCAGTCTATGCTATGTGGCTGAGACCTCTTCCTTTCCTCTCAGAGGTCTCTCTGGAGGCGGACATCTACCGTGATGGTCAACTCGCGATGCCAAGTGACAAACAAGCTAAGGTAAGGTTTCCTAGAGCCAGGCCCACCCCCCAGAACCATTTTATCTGACCTGCAGGGTGTCTGAGTCCAATTATTGTGCTACAAGTCAGAATGAATGAAGTCATCTTTTTTTCCTGGTACTGGGGTTTGAACTTGGGGCCTCACACATGCTAGGCAGATGCTCTACCACTTGAGTCACTCTGCCAGCCCTCAATGTCTGGCTTATTCACAGCTCTCCAGCGACACTAGGCTCACACTTAGTCTGGTTGTATGGTCAACTAAAATGGAGGGTTAGCTGCCAACCCTGGTGGGACATCTCTTCGGTTGCCTCTGTCCCCACTTGCCTTGGCACTGAAGCAAGGCAGAGGACTGGTAGCCTGTAACCTGTATTTAGTTGGCTTCCCCCCCCTCCCCCCCTTCGCCCCGCCCCCTGCCTCTTAGCTAGCTTGTCTGGTGTAGTCCTGTGCCTCTCACTGTCCTCCAGCTCCCCAGGGCATTGGGGGAGGGCTAGGCCCTGACCTGATGGGCAGGGGTATCTGAGAATTAAAGGGCTGGCTTTTTTCTGAGCCAATGTTCCTATTGTTTGCAGAAAAAATGGGTGTGGGGCCCCAGCGGCTGGGGAGCCATCCTGCTGGCAAATTGCAGCCCCATTGAGCCAAGCCAGCTCATTGACGGGGACAGCAACAAGGTGCTCTTCTCTGAAGGTGAGTCTGCTGTCTCTGCCCTTTCTTGTTCGCGCTGCCCATCCCTGAGCACACAGATCCTGGCTGACAATCCCCTTTGGACTGATCACGTCTTGTGTCATGTAGCTTGGTGGTAGAGCCGTTGCCTAGCATGTGTGACAGCTGGGATTTGATTCCAACACATCAAAAGATGTCTTCATGCCTTAAAGCTATGTAAATGAGCGGAGAGGCCATGTGGTCCTGTGGGAAGAGAATGGGCTTTGATGTCTGGTAACAAATGGCTACTTCCTGGCTGTGAATTGGTGTATACCAATGTCCCCCATGTTGTGTGGCCATCTGTGAAGTGGGGATAAGAAGTTGGCCTCACAAGACTGCTGAGAGACAAAAGACGACAGAAAAGGGATATAGGCATATTTTCTAGGGAACAGAGTCGGGGTGTGGCCTCGTGCACTGAGGCAGTGGGTCCTCAGTGGTCAGTCTCCATCTCTACTTCTGCTCTTCCTCCCAGTCCTGGGGCATCGGCCTCAACCTTTACCTTGTCTTTTGCTCAGAAATAAAGAATCTGTCCCGGCTGACTCTGACCGTCCAAGGCCCCTGCTGCATCTTGAAAAACTACCGGCTGATCCTCCACACCTCTGAGGACGAGGCGAGGAAGGCAAGGGTCTACTGGCCCCGGGGTGAGTGTTCTTGCCCCAGTTCCAACTCTGCAGGCCAGAGTGAGCTGTGACCACACTTCTTCGGCGAGGTCCTGGTAGAACTCTGCAGGGAACTCAGAACTGTAGGCCAGGTGCGATGGCGGCCAGACATGTGTCCCTGGGGTGCTCTGCTGCCACCCTCACCACAGTATAGGTGAGCTTTGATACCTCCAAGCCACTTCCTCCACCTCTTAACTGGGGTGATGGTACCTGTCCTGTAGGATTCTTGCGGCTGGAAGAGAAGAAATTTTAGTTGACACAACAGCTATTGCCTTACTGAGTAGAAAACATCTCCCAGTAACTCCCAACAGAGGATCCATCTACCTTCTTGACTAAGACCCCATTCTGTGAAACTTGCAGAACTCAGAGGCCAAGAAACCAGAGTGGAACCTTATATCCCAGCTGGCACACGGCCAATGTCCACCTTCCCAAGAGGTAGGCAGTGTGCCCTGGCCTACAGACGGGGCCTGGGGCACTGCTGGCTTTAGAAGATAGATGTGTCCAATCCCTGCAAGACACCGTGAACGTGTCTTGACTTGCCTAACCTGGCTCAGTGAAATGCCTCCTGATTTTCTACAACTGAGGCTTAATTCTGCTTCCAGCAGTATTAGCATGCCGCCTGCTTTTAGAAGCCACAGTCAAGCTTCAGAGAAGCAAGGGAGGATGCAATCCTCTGAGGGGACCGTGTCTATAGCCACCATTGGAGAGCAGTTTCCACCATGTCCTCATTTGTGCTTGGGAGCCTTGGCTTCCCTCCAGTGCTGCTTGTAGGCCAGAGCACACACTGAACTTGAAAATGACCTGGGACCAGCTAGCATGGAACCAGGTTGGACGGTTCCATTTCCCATGGGCTAGGAGTCGGCCTTAGAGACCTGTGGGTCGAGGGGGCTGGCACAGGTCACAGGACGATGACCCTGGGAGGTCTCCAAGTACGGAGAACTCAGCGGTAGGTTGGGCTAGAACAAGTGGTCTTTGGGAATGACCCAGGAGGCCACCAATTCGTGTAGCCTGCTGAAGACCTCTCACTTCACCTCACGTTCCATAGCAACCAATTTTCTATTATTGCAAATGCCTATTTCAGAGTCTAGGGTAGGGAAACCATGTGAAGGATGTTAAGCCCTCCAGGTGACTCTGAAGCATGCTAAATCTTGAGTCACTAGTCTAAAAGACCTAGCAAAAGATTCTGAGAAGTTTTCAGAGAGGCAGAGAGCCAGGGCAGAAGGTTCTAGAAGAAAGGGCCTTTGAGGACGGCCATGATCAACCATGGTAAACACTACCGATGGACCCAGATGACAGTGCTACCAATGGTGGGACCACTGGTGAATGATGGGGGCTCAGGTGGAGCTCAGTGGTACAGCACTTGCCTAGCAGGCATGAGGCCCTGGGTTCCATCCCCAGAACCAAACTGAAACAGGCAGGTACAGGGGATAGGAATGTGGAGGGGATTTGCCTGACAAGTACAGAGTCGGGGGCATCTAAAGAAGGGCTGGTGCAGTGGTTCAAGTGGTAGAGCACTTGCCTAGCAAGAATAAGACCCCGAGTTTAAACCCCGGTGCCACTAAAACAAACCCATAAAGATGGTGGAACACCTGAGTGCAGGTGGCGCGGATACAGTAGCGGTGGAGAAATGGGTACAGGAGGAGCAACTCTAGGAATAAGTCATACTCGAATTCCAGAAGTGGAAGAGGCAAGGGACAGGCCTGAAATGGTACTGTATGAGTAGTGCTGGGGCTGCTCTGAGATCTGGTAACGCCCTAAAATGAGGCCTTTCAGTATTGTGGCTTTTGCAGCAGCTCAGGTGTGTAGGATTAGTTTTGAAGACCTAGCTCAAATACAGCTGAGATCTTTTTCCCAGAAAAGTAGGGGTTGGTGGTGTGTGTAAGAGTGGAGATAACAATGGATGTCGGGGTCTGGAAAGGGATGGGGAGTGAGGACAGAGGGTGAGAATCGAAAAACCTAGCACTGGTATGAACCCTAACTGAAAGGGTCAGGAGTTGGCTCTGTCTTGGAGAAGGCCTCTGGGCTATGACCATTGTCAAAGGTGCTGAGGGTGACACAAAAATCGGTCATTGAAATAAGTCAAAGACCAAAATGTCCAGACGTTCTGATCTAATGTGTCTAGCACTAATGACCACAGTGATGGAGGCAAGCCAGGAGGAAGACAGTCCACAGGGGATGAGACAGGTGCAGCAAAGAAGGGGGCAGGTGGCATTACCTGATAGTGTACACTCCAAAGGAATGGTGACTCTTGAGAAAGGAGTGTGGAAGTGTCAATAAAGAAGACTCCGCCTGCCCCGTCTATGCCCTATGGCTTGTGACAAGCAGAAAAAAATGGCCCAAATCATCAGTGAGTGCTCTCAGAGAATCCTGCCTTCAAAGCCTGCCCGGGCTGGTGAACAGACAGCCAAGGGTGGGACAAGGGCAGAAGGAAGCCTGTCAAGGTTAAGGGTGGGTGGTGAGGCTGAGCTCTGAGCAGCAGCAGGGCCATCCTTTGAGGACTGAGGGCAGGAAGCGTCTAGTTCAGGTGACTGCTGGTTTATGAGGCTTGGGGCTCCCCATCCTGGTCTGTCTAATGGGGAGATGAGCCCCAGCTAGAAAAGACAAAAGATGCAAATGAGCCCGTAAGCTGCAAGCTCTGCCATTCTTGGTACATGGTCAGTCCACAGCATGATGCCTGTCCTTTGGTTTGGCTTTCTTGGTGCCAGGAATGGATCCCAGGGCTCACGTTAGGTAAGGGCTCTGCCACTGAGCTGTACCTAAATGCAACCAGTAAGGGGCTGGGAATGTAACTCGGTGGCTGAGTGTTTGCCTAGCATGCATGAAGCCCTGGGTTTGATCCCAGTACCATAGAAGGGGGAAAACTACCAATAAGAAGGTAATGGGAGGGTTAATACAGCTAAAGTGTGTGACATGACATTTTTATATATTCATAATAAAACCCATTGTCTTGTACGGCTAATGTATGGTCTAAAAAGCCAGATAGAAGACCCCTGAAGGGTCAAAAATGGCACTGAGATGGCAGGTAGGATCTTGTGGTAGGTGGACCAGGACCCCTCACCCTCCCTGCCTTGCAGTAGATTTTCCTTGAGAGGAATGGCCATGGGAGCCTGAGGCTCTGGGCCTGTAGCGGTGGCCAGCCTGTGTCATTGGAAACCCACAGCAGGCCAGCTGGCTTTGTGATGGGTTAAGAGAGCCAAGTGTGCTGGGGAAACCTGGTGGAAAACTGACTTGTTCCTCCTCCATGAGGCCTAGCACAGGGCCATTGAACACTCCAGGCAGACTAGAAGTGTGGAGTCGGGAGTTTCCCAGCTGGCCCAGCAGCAGGAGGACTGAGGCCCAGCCGATGGCCAGAATCTGGAGGTCACTGTGGCCACAGCCAAGAGGCTGGGGAACCCGGCCTAGTGACTGACCTGGGGATGGCCAGGGGCATCTTCATACTGAAGGAACTGGAGACCCAACGAGGATGTGGTGTCCAGATCTCTCCAGGTCTTAGTGGTTGGGGTAAACCCAGCTAGGACCACCCAGAGCTAGAATCCACCCACAGGCTTTATGCAGAAATGGCTATTGTCAGACAGCAGCTGCCCAGTCAAGAATAGGTGAGAAGGACACAGGGGGTCTGAGTGACCCAGTGGGGGAAACTTGGTTGCCTGGGATCAGGTGACCTCCAGAGATAGAAAATGTCACTAGTTACCCAGAGACAACCATGGAATGTGGCCTCTGGTCTTTTCTATGCATGGATCTGACCTAAGAAACTAGAATAGACTTCACAGGGGTGGGCACGAGAACCCCGCATTTCTTCAGAACTCCTCCCCAGAGGTGGTATCTCTCTCATAGTTGCTTCTCAATGACTGTCCTCATGTTGGTGTCTGATTTTTCTAGACGAGGATGCCAAACTCCTTTCATAGAGCCTTTAGGATTTTATTATTGTCTCCCTAAAGTTGAATTTGTGGGTCAAACATGGGATCACCTGCTATGAATCTCTGCCCCAAAGTGACCCCTCAAATGCAGGCATTCGAATCCCTGACTCCTGACACATCCCAGGCCTTCAAAGCATGGTGACACATAACTGGCCCTTGTTTATGAATAACTGCTTGTCCCCTGAGCCCAAAGCCCTAAACACAGGAATAGACAAGCTTGTTCCGCTCCTGCCTGCCTGGAACTCAGCCCAGCTTGTGGCACGAGGTATGAACCAGCATCCCAGTCATCAGATGTGGTGGCCAGAGGTAGGCTGCTTGAGTAGCTGGTTGTCCCTTCTCTCTCTAGAAGATACCTTTTGTACTTTTGAGCTGGTGCTGGGGCCTGGCCAGCGCTCATATACCCTGGCTCCAGCTGAGAACCACAGGAAAGAGACCTTCTATGTGGAGGCTACAGAGTTCCCATCTGCCAGCTTTTCAGGCCTGATTTCTTTCTCTGTCTCCCTGGTGGAAGAGTCTCAAGATCCGGTAGGTTGCCAAGGAGGCGGGGTACCCTGGGCAGCAGGTGTATGAAAATATCTCCCGCAGCTGGGTGGAGGCTGGGGAAGGCACAACTGGGCAGTAGAGCCAGGGTTTCTGCAGAATGCAGAGCCAGGGGAGGGCCTGGCTAAACAGCTACAGGCCTCGGGGGATAAAAGACAATGCCTTATGTTGCAGTTAACACCAGAGACCCCGATATACAAAGACACGTGGTGTTCCGGGTAGCTCCTTGTATCTTCACCCCCAGCACCCAGATGCCTCTAGAGGTATACCTGTGCAGGTAAGGGACCCTCGGGCTGCATGGGCCGGCAGTTTTCATGGCAGACACTCCCCTTATGTGTGCAGAGTGGGTGGGTAAAGATGACTAGAGGCTTGCCAGGAGACTGGACTCCTCCACCCAGGCTCTGGACGTGCCTTCAAAGCATCCTGCAATAGGTATCTGAGTGTTCCCAAGGCTGGGGTAGAGCAGTGAACCACGTGGTCCCCCATTTAGATTTGGGGGGAGGGGTCAGACAACATGATCTCAGGTAGTTTCAAGATTTACAAACAGGAAGAAAGGAGAGGTAAAAACAAAGTGTTCCAGGCACAGTGAGGTGGCCCAGAGTCAGGTGGTAGGGAGCAAAGTATCCACGGCCTAATGGGTGAGGATAAAGTCTGAGGCAACCCCAAATACAGAGGCCTGAGGCCAGCTTTATGGGAGTGCCTGCAGGTTAGGGGGTAACTGCCTCCCCAGTCATCACCCAGGTGCCTTGGCTGCTTGCAGTCTTATAATGCTGGCTGTGGGAGTAGCATCTCTGCCTTCATGAAGCCAGGCCCTAGGAAGGGAAAGAGCCAAATTCCAGGAAAAAAACCTGCCTGTTTGTCACTGCTGGGTATACAGAAGTGTTCCACCTCATGTGGCAGTGGCCTGCAGAGACCTGGGGCCACATTCGGCTGCAGGATGACCAGCCAGTGCCTCTGGCTATGTGACCACATGAAGGGGGGGTGACAGGCTGGAAGGGGGCACAACCAGTGGGAACCCACCAAGGGTTTTGTCTGCAGTCTCTGGCCAGTGGGAAAGCAGGATGCAGATGAAAGGCAGGAGGTCTGCTCAGACAGGGGTGGGGAACACAGAAATGGGAGGCAGGAGTGATCTGAATGTGGCCTTCCTGTCCTGCTCTGCCCCACACCCACGTCAGCTCCTCCAGCTCCATACATGAAGGTTGTTTGAGGTAGCAGACAAAGGACAATGCTTGTAGAATGATTCTGCAGAGAAGGGACACGGATAAATGGAGAGACAAGTGGAGGAACCCGATACATGGATGAGTGCCTGAGTCCATCTGGCTTCATGGCATAAGGATGGCACACCACTGTCCGGATGGAAATGCTGGTGGGGTTGTCTTTGGTATCTGTTAGCAAAATCCCATCAGCCTTTCCCTGAGACGCTACCTGCTCATCCCGAAAACTTCAGTACCAAGGACTCACTTCTGGTGGTAGTTCAGGGAGACCCACTGTTCAGTAGCTTGAGTTTTAGGGAGGAATACTGAAATGTTGAACCTGACCGGGATTGGAGCCTAGTCAGGCAGTAAGTCCGAGAAGGTCAAGGATATAGCCATGATGAGGCACCAGAGAACCCGCACTGGGTAAGGAGGAAGGTGAAGAGACATAGGAATAAAAGGAGTGGAAAAGCTGGGTGGTAATACAGCCCTGTAATGCCAGCACTTGGGAGACAGAGGCAGGAGGATCACAAGTTCCAAGTCAACCTGGGCTACATTGTAAGACCCTATCTCTAAAATAAAATAATAATAAAAAGCCAGTAAGGTCCAGCAGCTGGCGAAGGACTGGAAGGGCTATGCAGGGAGGACAGAGGTCATGGGGAAGAGACATCAGATGAAGATTTTGGAGGTGGTGTGGCTATTGGAAGAGGAGAATGAGGTAGAGGAGAAAAGATGACCTCAAGTCAGGGATAAGGAGTCGTGGTATGGGCGGCCCTTCTGGATGGTGTCACTAAGGATGGTAGAGCAGTATGGGAAGCTGAATGGGAGTCGGACTAGAAGAATGACTAGTTGGGGGGATGGGCAGCTCATGCCCTGGCTGAAAGCTTGAAGATCTCCACCCCTCCCCCAGGCCCAGTGCAACAGAAAAAGCTCTTCTGTGTGAAGGCTGCTGGAGAGCAAGGGCCACAGGTTTCAGGACAGGAAGGGAAAAATCTTGGAGTTCATGGGATTTTACTAACAGATACCCCAGACACCAGACCTTTCTGCCGTCTTTTGTATCTGAAGACGGGGTGCTCATTCAGACATCCATGGGAACTCTGGTCTTCAAGGAAACTCGAGCCCCATAGGGGTGGTATTCAGACACAGCTTGACCCAGCTTAGCCATGGTGGAGACCCTAGAAAGTTCTTTGGAACAGTTGCATAGGACAGCAATGTAAGCTTTGGGCCTGGAACTAGACTAGGGTCCCAATTGTGACGCTTCCTGTTAGTGTGACCTTGCTGATGTTTGACTCCTGAGAGCCCATTTGTTTGTAAAACTGGACAGTCTTGACGTTAATCTCAAACACTATTGCCCAGCTTGCTCTGTGGATCCATGAGTGTGGCATTGTGTGTGACAGAACTAAGATTCCAGGGTTCAAGACCTACCAGTGCCCTATCCACAGAAATGACTGTTAGCCATCTCAAGAGGCCATGCAGTCTTTTCTTGGGAAAGACGGCCCCTTCGGGGAACAGTCAGCCAGACCTGTGGGTGCACCGAGGCAGGAGAGCCTGGAACAAGGGTAGAGGGCACATGCAGGGGGTGACCAGAGAATCGACAGGAATAGGCTGCCAAGGGTGAGACCTGGGCAGGACTGACCCTGAGCGAGCAGCCAGTGCCCCGGGGGAAGACACTCACTTTGCTCACCACTGGGCAGAGGAGGCCCACTCCCCTGGGACAGGGACATCATAAGTAGCGGGAGAACCTGGAACGCCTCGCCAGAGCCAGCTTTATCTCATGGCAGAGAGCTCCAGCTACAGGGTTTTGTGAACACGGTGATGGAGCTGAGTGAAAAGAATAACGTTCAGGTGGCATCTGTCTACGAGGACCCCAACCGCCTGGGCAGGTGGCTCCAGGTAACCCTGCTCCTGGGGAAACCCACCTGTGAGGGAGGGGCAGGGAAACATAGCATGTACATCAGACCTTCATGGCGGGCCTTGTGGAGGCAGGTTTACATGTAGGACCTCACTGGAGGCTCAGATGAAGTGGTCACAATCATTATGAAATTTTATAGCCCAGTCCCCTTCCCATTCTAGAATATAGGTGTTCAAGACCACAGACCACCTGAGGCTCTAAGTGCTCTGAGGGTCTGATGCCTTCAGCTGGGTATCAGAGCTGGGTTGAGGCTCTGGGGTCATGTCTGGCTTAGTTTCGAGTGACTGCTACATGCTGATGTGCCACTAAGGCTAGAGAGAAGGCAGGATAGGACAGGTGCCCCTGTGCCAGCAAGGTTTAGACAAAACTGGGCAGTCCAGGCAGTCAGGAAGTACTCAAATGCAACCTAAGAAAATGGGACTGCAAAGACTGAGAGTGGGGTGGCTGATGGAGGTGGGAGCCCTCAGGCAGGAGTAGCTACCATGAAGGTCGTGATGTAGGATATGTATGGAGGACTAAGGAGCAGAAGGGCTGCTGTGGCTGTGTTACGATGAACAAGGGTCAGAGGTAAGCAAGAGCTATGCTACCCACATGTTAGAAGCTGTTCACATCACAGTAAAGAATAAACAAATCCACTGTAAAGTGGGATGACATTGAAAAGCATGAATCTGGAGTAAAAGGTTGACTTGGGTTTTTAGAAGACCCACCCTGGCCAGGTGTGGTGGTGTATACCTGTAATCCCAGCACTCAGCAGACTAAGGACTACAAGTTCAAGGCTAGTCTTTTTACCTAGCAAGACTGACTCAAAACAAGATGGGTGGCTCAAATACAGGGAAGGTGGGGGAAGGACTGACTGTAAGGCATTGTAATGATGTGGGAAGAGACCATGGTGGCTTCCAGAGATAAAGGTGACTCAGATCACGAGGTAAAGCCGACAAGGCTTGTCAATAGGTTGGGTGCAGAAGAGAAAGAAGGCTCTAGACAACTCAGGTTTTAAGCCTGAATAAAGCAGATCAGGGAAAGCCTCGAGGGAGCTGGAGTTTTGTGTGTGGGGTACTGGGGATTGAACCCAGTAAGCACTCCTACCACTTGAGCCTTGCCCCACCTCCTGAGATGGGTTTTGAGAACTGTAGGAGTTTGGTAGGAAGAAGCAGGGTCTTTTTGTACCACTTCTGGAGGTGGCCCACGTTCAGGGAGGTGAGCTGGACAGAGGTAGATAAAGCAGCTGATGGAGCAAGACCTCATGACTACCTGCTGTCTCCTCCAGGATGAGATGGCCTTCTGCTACAGCCAGGCCCCCCACAAGACGGTTTCCTTGCTTCTCGACACCCCTCGGGCTGCCATGCTGGAAGACTTCCCCATGAAATACTCACTGGTGTGGGGCTTGGTTTGCCTGATCTGGATATAGTCCAACCTCTCGGGCCGGTGCCTTCACAAGTGAAATGGTGCCAAAGGGGGAGGAGTGGGGTTCAGATGGCCTCTGGGAAGGGGATGTGAGTCTACCTGACAGTACAGATAGGCTAAGCCCCAGTCTTGCTCCTATGTAGGCCTAAGCCCTCCTAACGCTCCCTGCCCCCTTGGGTCTCCTTCCAGAGCCCTGGTGTTGGCTATGTGACCCGACGTACTGAGGACCATCGGGTAGCCAGCTTGGACTCCATTGGGAACCTGATGGTGTCCCCACCTGTCAAGGTCCAGGAGAAAGAATACCCCCTAGGCAGGGTCCTCATTGGCAGCAGCTTTTACCCCAGGTGAGTCAAGATGCCAGAAGGTGGCAGATGCCTTAAAACCAAAGGAAAGGACTCTACTGACTCTCCTATAACTTCAGCCCATCTGCTCTGGACCAGTTCTTAAACTGTAACCTAAGGATACTTGAATCTCTGGTTTACATGAGAAACTAAAAGCAGACTGCTTTTTGGTGACTCTAGGAATTAAAGAGAAACAGCTAAATGTAACTAGGCACCTGTTGATATAGCGGGTGTTATTTCCACAAAACGTGGTTAGATTTCTTGGTAGCCATTAATCTGAAACCAGTTGGTTCTATGTCCTGGACTTTGGTCTACACAGGCTCACTTGGCCTAGTTCTGAGTTGGATGAAAGTAAGGGATTCCAAAGCCTCCCCATTCCTAGGGACCAGCCACCTCCACCCAGGGGCCAGAGCTGCTTGAAGGTAGCGGGTAGCCCACTTGGGTCACACCAGCTCAAGGGCTATTCATTCTGTGTATTTGTGGTACTGGGGTTTGACCTCAGGGCCTAGCACTTGCTAGATAGGTTCTGTCCACTTGAGTCACATTTCTAGTCCTCTTTGACTTGGTTGTTCTTGAGATAGGGTCTTGCATTTATGCTTCCTGCCTAACTTCCTGTTGAGATGGGGTCTTGAGAACGCTATCCATGCTGGCTCTGAACCAGTCCTGACTTCTGCCTCCCAGGTAGCTGTAGGATTACAGGCCTTGAGCTATTCCATCTTCCTTCTAGTGCAGACAGTCGGACCATGAGCAAGAGCCTGCTCGACTTCCTCTGCGCCCAGCAGGTCCAGGCACCTGTGGAGCTCTTTTCGGACTGGTTAATGACTGGCCACGTGGACGAGTTCATGTGCTTCGTCTCAGTAGATGACAAGAGTGAGAATGAAAAAGTATGTCTGACCTTGTCCTCCACATCTTCTGCCAGAGAGCCTCAGAATCTCCTTGAAGGGAGTGCTAATCTCTGACCCTGGTTCTCGGTTCCCAGGGCTTCCGGCTGCTCCTGGCCAGCCCTAGTGCCTGCTATGAGTTGTTCCAAGAGAAGCAGAAGGAGGGCTATGGGGACGCAACTCTGTTTGAAGAGGTCCGAGCAGACCAGCTCCTTTCCAATGGTAAGGGAGCCCTTCCACCTGGTACCTTTCTAGATTGTCAGCCTTTCCTTGACCACCCTTGGTAGTAGGGATCGCCATGTTGGGGCACCTTGCACCAGGGGGAGCTCTGCCAGAACTAGGTTAACACAGGATCAGGAGCTGCTTAGACTGGATGCAGAGGGGACATCATTAGCAAGAGGCCCCTAAATGGGTTGGGGGAAGAGCTGATGCTATTGTCTGACTTTCAGGGAATGTTGGGTTAATACCTGGCATTGTGGCTTCCTGGGTCTCCCATTTGCTCCGAAGGAACCACAGAAGTGGACAGATCATGTGGCTGGTGCCATGTTCTGACCTAAATCTGGTGGGCACACAAAAAGGAACTTTTCTAGAAAGGGGGTGGGGGTGTTGGGAAGTTCTCTAGGCCCTCAATATCCAAAGTGTGGTCTGATGACCAGCAGCTTCAGTGTCACTGGAAGCTGGGTAGAAACGTAGATATCCACCCCATCCTAAACAATGGCCTCCAGGGTGGGCCCAGGGGCCTCCTGGCCACAGCACAATAAGGGGTGGTATTTACTGAGAATGGAGCACACACCACAGGTCAAAGACTTTGTGCCTGAGTTGAGCATCCCTTTCCAAAGACAGGTAACGGAGGAGCAAGGTTAATGTAACCTGTTGATTACAGGAAGAAGGTAGCCAGGTATACGATCAGGTAGTGTCTGTGGGGGCCAGCCGAGGTGAATGGGGGACTCCCGCTTGCCCTCTGCATTGCTTAGCTCCACGGGGCAGTGCTGCAGGACAAAGGGGCCACATGGGTACAGTAAAGTCGAGACCAGTAGCTGACTAGTCATTGGATACTGGCCCCCCACAACTGTATTCGGGGCTGCTTCCCTTAAGCCGGGGAGAGTGCTAGTGGCTACACGTCCTCCCTTGGCTTTCTGATGTGGACTCTGCTCAGATATGGCACTGCACCTGGGGTGGGGGAAGGACCCTGGAGACTAGCCAGGCCACTCACCTTAGTCACTAGCTCAAAAACGTATCCAGTTGGCTGTGTTGGCTCTGACCCCCAGGCCTGCCTGTTCTCTCCTCCTCCCTACAGGACGGGAGGCCGGAACCATCAACCAACTTCTAGCTGACAAAAGCTTGAGAAAGCAGAACGACTATGTGGAGGTAGGGCCTGGGGTGTGGGGACTCTTCCCATGGAGGAGCTGGTAGTGTGGGTTCTGCAGGAGGGTCCTGACCCTCCTGATAGGGGTAAGGGGCAACAGCCAGCACCCCTCTCCTCCAGGCGGATACAGGCTCCAGGGATGGGATGTGCCCAACAGGGATGACAGGAGGTGGCATGTCAGGCTGCTTTGCTTGGCTGGTTTCACTCATGTCAGAATGAGGGTCAGGACTACCTGCCTGGCTCTTTCTAAGCCAGAAAGGCTCTGGCAATCTGAACCAGTTCCTGAGAGCGTATGGTGGCCTAAATATCGTAGATGCCTCACTGAGGTCCCAGGGGTTGGCCCTACAAGGTGGATCCTATCTAGCATGTGTGGACAGGGAGGCTTGGACAAAAGGTCTGAGATGAGATGTAGCTGGGTCTGAATTCAGGTGCCAAGTTCTCATTCTCACTGTGCTACTCGAGCTGCCTGGTGTGTGCTTCCCTCCCAGGGGACAGCACCAGAGCTCAGATCCCCCTGGCGGAGGCCAGCCACTCACTTCTTTGAGCTTTTATCAGACATGGAAATAAACCAGGGCCTTCTCAGGGCTCCTGGATGAGGTGGCCTGTCACAGCAGCCTGAGAAAGGGGGCTCAGGATCTCTAGCTCCCAGAGCTCTTGAAGGCAAATCACCAGCTGCAAGAAGCAGGGTCCCAGGAGAGTTTCCAGCTTCCAGGAAGGGAAGCCGAGGTGTAGGGAAGGATCACTTCTTGCTGATCACTTCATGGTCAGCATACCGGTTTTGCTTACTGGATCCTTGTGGCTACTAGGTGAGGTGCACTGGGCCCTGACCTCTCTGCAGAAGCAGGGAAGGCCTTCTGGCCCAACAGGGTGTGGGGCTAAGCTAGCATCTCAGCCCTGGTCATGGGTTTGAGTCATATTTCAAGATCAGGGGTATGACCAGGTGTTGGCTTCAGCTGCTCTGAGCAGCTTCGGTCTCCTTCCTGAGGAGTAGGCCTGGGAGCTCCCACTTACCCTCTGCATTGCTTGGCTCCACTGCACAGTGCTGAAGGACAAAGGGGCCACATCGTACAGTAGAGTCGGGACCAGTAGCTGACTAGCCATGGGACACTGGCCTTGAGAGCCCAGACTCTCTTCCTTGGAAGAAGGAAACTGGGCCCTCTTTTATGGGAATGCTGTCCTGGCCTGCAGGACTCTGATACAGTGAGGAGTGAGATGACAAGTGCTGTAGACTGTTGTGCAGCCTTGATGTGCAAGGAAGCAGGTGTCCTGTTCCTAATGTGCTCACTTCATTCCTGTTCCTTCCTGCCTACCCCACAGAAGTGCATCTGCCTGAACCGTGCCATCCTGAAGAAGGAGCTGGGCCTGGTGGAGAAGGACATCATAGATCTTCCCCAGCTCTTCTGCCTGGAGCAGCTGACGAACATCCCCTCCGACCAGAAGACCCCAAAACTCTTCGCACGGCCTTATTTTCCTGATGTGGTGAGGGCCACTTGGCAGCCCTGGTTGGGGTGGGGGTCTGCTCGACCCACACTGCTGGTGCCTTGCTGGCCATAGTGCTCCACTGTGGGGGTCAGTGTGGGCAGTAGTGCCTATGAGGAAGTGAGATGGGTTCCTCCTCTGCTCCTTACTAGGACAGGAAACTGTCTCAGGAATAGGGGAGATGGGCCTGAGGGCTGGGGCACTCTCAAGGAGTTCCCAGTGGCCAAAGTGCTTCCAGGGCTTCAACTAGCTTGGCCTCAACCTGAAGGTACAGACCTCAAATGGGGAGGGGCCCCTTCAGACAGGGAACTGTACTACTGAGCCAGCTGCTGGCAGAGACCTTGGGAAAGTTTCCCAAGGGAGTCCCCCAGTCCTGTCCCTAGGGTCCGGAGCAGCAGTCTCACACACGTAAAGTAACACTATTCTAGACAAGTGAAAATCAGGAGGCTGGGAACCAATGCAGACCCCTTCTAGGCGGAACCTATGGCAACAGTGACTGACATCTACCTTCCTCCTGCACCAGTCGTGACCTGTCATGTTGGGGTCTAACACACATTCCTAGGATTTGCATCAATGCTTTAACCACTGTACACCTCCCCTCTGGGCTCTAGGAAAACAGACCCTGCACGTGCCAATGACCATGTGGGTACCACATGGCCCACTGAGCCCTTGGAAACAGGTGTGAATAGTGGCAGCAAAACTTCAAGGCAGAGTTGAGACAGGAAAGAAGTCAATGCAGCTGAGGTGGGGAGAGCATTCTAGCAGAGGCAGTAGGACTGTGCACAGCTAAGACTAGGCCAGAATAACTGCAATATACTAGAAGGAACGGGGAAGTCAGCGGGGCCGATGTTGGCCACACAACTCTAGTTTTGCTACTTGAGAAACACTGGGATCCACAAGTTGATTTACTTTTTGCTGAGATCAGTGATGTTTGCATGAGCACAGGCCTGGGGAGAGGTTCTGGCTGTTACCTAGCCAAGCCTTAGTAGAGGCGGCTGGATTTTCCCTGTACTTAGCCCCGTGGCACACCACAGTTGGAGGGGTAGGGGATTTTTCCACATGGCTCTGATCCCTGCCCTCACGCCCGATCCTTCTCGCAGCTGCGGATGATTGTGATGGGCAACAATCTGGGGATCCCTAAGCCCTTTGGGCCCCAAATCAAGGGTACTTGCTGCCTAGAAGAAAAGATCTGTCACTTGTTGGAGCCCCTGGGCCTGCAGTGCACTTTCATTGATGACTTCGACTGCTACCTGACTGACATCGGAGACTTCTGCGCCTGTGCCAACATCCGCCGGGTGCCCTTTGCCTTCAAGTGGTGGAAGATGATGCCTTAGTCTCGGGTCCTGGAGCTGACCTCGGCATCTGCACGCAGAGCCATTATCACCACGCAGCAACGGGCCTCTGGGCCCGGTGGGGGCACTAGGCTTAAGGCAGCGCACCCCTTCCTTGCCCTGCTCACCCTTGTCCCTGAAGATCCAGTAGGGTGGCAAATGCCACCACCTTGAACCTCCTTGCAGGGGAAGGGGGAGATGGAACGTGGTCTTCACCTGAGTTTACTTCAGAGCCAATAAAGCTCCAGCCCTTCAGAGTGCATGTTGGCAACCGCCTCACCTTGGTGAAGGGGAAGAGGCCCTGCTTCCGACAGCGGAGGAGATTGAGTTGTCGTTCCTACTCCAACTTTTTGTGGTGGGAAGTGGCTGGACTGAGGCTATTCCAATGCTGGGTCCAGACCGCAAGGCAGGCCCAGACTAGCTGTCACACAAAGCTGCAGTGCTCACTTCAGAAGCAACGCCTGTCTCTGGGTGCCTGACTGCCCCATGTCAAGGGCAGAGATGCGATGGGAGTGAGGGGTTCCTATCCTGCTGTTCCTGCGGTGGCCCCTTCAGGACACCCGAATGCTCAGCAGGTCTATGTCCAACGAGAGGCAGAGCTGGGCCTACAACTAGCCCTGATCCCAGCGCAGGGGATGGAATTATGGGAGACGGGCAGGGACCTGGCCCTTCTCTGCCACTATGTGAGCAGGTCCCCATCCTAGACTGTCCCTGGCTACCCAGCTCTGCAGTGGGTCCCCTACCTATGTTCCCTCAGCATCAACAGCCTGTGAAGGGCAGACCATGTGCTGCTGGGTTCCCAGCCTGCAGAATGGGATCTGGTCTCCACAAGCTGAGAGTGAAAATGGGGCCTGTGCAGCTGGCACAGGACCAGAAGGGCCGTGACCTGGCAGGGCATGGAGCAGCTCATGTAGGGACTTCAGGAACCTATGAGAGGCTCTGTTGTCCCACAAGAGACCCACTGACCCAACTTGCCCAAGGTCATGCTCACAGAGATTTACTTGGGCCACCCCAGGGCAGTGGGAGCTGAGGGTGGCCGAATGCAGGGCGGAGGAGCTGGTTGTTGGTCAGGTGCCGACTGCAGGTTGGGTATGGATTTGAATCTCGGCTGCTCTGGCCTTGGCCATGTGCCCAGGCCCACTACTTGAGCAGTTTATCAACACTGTCTTATCTGCATGTGGGCACCCAGTTTGTGGCCCATATGCTACAAAGCTTTGTTTTATTCATGGCTGTGTCTCCAGCTAGCCTGGGCTGATACAGTACAGGTCTTTAAATCTTATAGGTGGGAGGGAATAGACAAGCAACTAGGTTAAGGCTGCCACATGAACCAACCTGCACTTCCAGAAAAGTGGGGGAACTTTAGGGATCCCTGCTGGATTCTACACCTGGAACCCACCCGCCTTCAACCAAGGTCTGAGGGGCAGACGGGCTGCTCTGATGAACCCAACCAGACCCTCACACAGGCTTCTTAGGCTGGCCCTAGGCTCTTGTCCTCACCCTAAGGGTCCCACGGGAGCCCTTGGTGGGCTTAGCCTTTTGCTCCCTGGTCCCTGCTAGCAATATCCCCCCCTCCCGTTAGCCTTTCCTGACAGCAAACACCTAGGAAAGGCTGGTGGTTGTGGCCAGGATTCTGTTGTAAGTTTCTTTAAACTGGGCACCAGCAATTAAATGCATCAGGACAGACGGCTACTGCCGACAGACCTGGCCACCCAGGGCTTGGCCCCTGCTGACCCATGTCCCACCTGCCGAGGTTATTGGTCACTTGGCACCTTGCTTGCATGCTCTCCTTTGAGAGACTTGTAAGACTAAGGGCCCTGGCCTCTGCTTCCTCGCCAGTGTCGTGGGTGAGTGCAGAGGTGGTCTCTGGACTATGAGAACTCAGGCCATCTGTAAGGCCCTAGAAAGAGGCCTGTACAGGTATCCTGAGCTGCCTTCACTCCCCAAAGTTGGAGATACTGTCTCTGGGGCAGAGAAGAGCCTTGCCAGCTCCCGCTGTGTCCCACTGGTCTCCCTGGCCCCACAGATGGGCAAGTGATCCCTGAACCCTATCTCTGGTTTAAGGCGGCACCGCCCACCCAGTGGGTGTGGACAGGGCACCTGGGAGGGGAGGAGAGTACAGCTGAGGTCACAGATCTCCTACACAACCCCTAAAGGCCATCTAGTTCTTACACCAAGCCTGGTGCCCGGGATGCCTGCACTGGCAAAAACCCCAACTTTGCCTTTTAACAGGTTCCTACTTTGCCCCATTTGTGGCACCCCACCACACTGAACCCCTGGTCTGTGAATGCATGCCTGGGATCTCCAGCTACTACCCTCTAGTGCAGTCATCCTCTGGGTCCCAGGGTCCTGTGTGAGCCTTATCCCCACCTTACCAAATGGGTGTGATGTGGGGATAGGTTCAGAAGCCCCAGGAGGGGGGCAGGACCATCCAGGCCCCATCCTGCTCTTCCTTAGGATCTAGTAACTGTTGAGGACTAGCTGGCAAGGCTGGCAGGTGGCAGCAGCTCTGTGAGGTCACTCCCACCATTGGCAGCCAGCACAGTGGCCCAGGCCCATGCCACAGCAAGACTGCAGACAGCTCCCCGGCAATGCCAAGACTATACAGGACTCCCCCCTCCCCAGAGTGGATGAACTATGGAGTGGCGAGGAGGGTCATTGGGGCCTTTCAGCCAGGGGTTCCAAGCTATCCACGAGACTTCCCACTCCCTTCACTGCAGCCAGGGTCAGTTCATGTCTGCATGTCACCCTCTGTGAAACAGGAAGAAATGGTGTGGGTGACAGCTAGGACTGCTGCTCCACTCACTGATTCCATAGACCAGGCTCTGAGCAGAGGCCTGCTTCCTTTTCTAGGTAGGCCAGGCCTTTGGGCACAGGACCTCTTGCCCCTTGGTGAGCAGCTGGCCACACTGCCCTCAGGGCTGCACAAAAGCTATAGTCCAGGTTCAAGGCCCACAGCTGCCTTGCAGAAGTTTCGGGAATGTTGTCTCTGAACACACACTCGGGCCTAAGGTGGTGTTATAGCCTGGTGGTGGTAAAGAGCTAGCCTAGTGTCTGATCTCCAGAACCACAAAAACCTAACAATACCAACCTAAGTTTGGCTGGAGGCGTGGCTCAAGGGGTAGAGCACCCGCTTAGCAAGCAAGGTCCTCAGTTCAAACCCCAGTACTATACGTCACAGTACTACACCTAACCTACTGACCACAGCTTAGCCACCAACCGTGCAGGTGCTCAGAGCCCTGCCATCTGCCTGCAGTTACAACGCCACCAAACACAAAGCTGATTTTATAAGTAGTACTGGATATCTCACATAACATACCCAACACTGTACTGAGAGTGAAGAACACAACGGTTGTGTATGAAGCCAAAGAATCCCAGTCAGGGCCACATGCATGTCCCTGGGCCCACAGATGTGACAGCACTGCATTCTGGGCCTCTGGCCATTTGTGGCTGATAGCACCCCATTCTCTTAAAGCCTGTGAGACCATGGATGGTGCATCTCCGAACTGGACAAAAGAGGCACTGACCCCTATCCCTTCGTCCCTCAAGCTGCACATTTCAAGGGGCAGAGCTGGAGTTCCACTTACCTCCCAACCCTGTGGCATTTAAACCCAAAAGTTTGCCAGGGCTTTCTCCTCACACCGTTTTGTGGGTACTAGGCCTGGTGGGGTTCATGTACAGGGGACTGAGAAAAACCGAACTGCCACGTGCTATATTCTGAGAAGAAACGCAAAAGCCAAGACCGAGTAAACAATGATGCCGTTTATTTAAAATGTTTACTCCAAGAAATATATATATAAAAAAAAAATAAGACAATTAACAGCACTAACCCAGGCACCTTCGACCAAATCACGTCCTTTTACTCCCCTCCACCTTCTCCCCTTCTCTCGAACCCAACCCTCCTTCCTGGCATGAAGACTGTGGAAGCTGCAGGACGGCCAACCTGGGCCCTCCACACCTTTCTCTGGGTGCAAAGAATGCCAAATCCTGCTCTGCAGGGTTTCCCCACGTGGAAGTTTATAATTCTGTGCCAAAAAGGAAGGGTATGGCCGGGCACAGGGCATTCCTGTGAAGCTCCCTTTCTGCCCAGTCCCTGGCAGGGCCCTGCCAGGGCAGTAACTGCTGCTGGTTTTAGGTTTGTCCACTGGAAGATCTGAGCCCAGTTCAGGCCAGGACAAGTCCCAACGTACTGCATCCTTGACCCTCCGGGTGACCACACAGCTAGAGGATCTCCTGGGTACAAGGGGCAGATGCTGACCTATGCTCCAGATAGACCTTCCCGGGGAAGCGCTCAGATCCCACAGAGGCTTAAGTGGGGGTGGTGTCTGGGGAGGGCTGGATTAAGTGGGTTAGTTTTGCAGAAGCTTGTGCCCTGGACTGACTAGTTGGACACAGGACAGGAAGATGAGTGTGAACTCAGACTGAGTCTTAGAAAGATGCAAGTCTGCAGGACTGGCAGAGACAGACATTGTCACATTCCTGGAAGAGCAGAAGCCACTGTGAGGAGTGACAGGGCAGGAGGACAGGGAAAAAAGCAACAACGACTAGATCATTTTTGGCATTTTAACATGGAGACAATGACAAGTGGAATAGCAAAAGCAAAACAAATGCAGAAGACCAGCCTCATCCTTCCCATCCACCCAGTCTCACACCAAGTCCTGTCCTGTCCCCCATAAGCACCACAGGAACTAAAATCTATTTAAAGCACCCAAACCAGCCCAGACCCTCTGGAAACCAAGAGCCCCAGTCCGAGCTGAAGCCTTGCTTAGGTCCAAGTGAGTAGGGTTCTGGGAAAGGCACCTCGTAACTCACGCCACGCAGTCAACACCGGACGGGCTCAGGCAGAGGGCACTTGCCAGGGATGCGGGTGGCAGTCACAGCATTGGCGCTGACACAGGGCAGGGGGACTTCTTCAGGAATCCCAACTATTTGGTACCAGAGCCAAGCAAATGGAATAAAAATGCTGGGCTAGCAGAACAGTGGCAACAAGTCTCAGAACAGAGCGGCTGTTCCAGGCGGGATCCAGCTGGAGCGGGCAGGCAGAAGCACAGGCGACAAGGCTGGTGTGATGGAGGTGTGTCCTTTGCGAGGACTGCAGAGTGCACTTTTGACTGCTGGCTGATGGATCTAATCGGTGGGCACTAGCAACAAGGCCCAGGCTTAGCCATATAGCCAGACCTCTCAATAGACACAAATGTTCCCTATTTCTGCCCACCCGAGTCCCCACGGTTCCCTATCACCTGACTCTCATTTGGACTTCCTTTCTGGTAAAGTAGATAGAAATGGCTAAACACAGACCTCAAAGCCCCCACCAGGGGGGCACAGCAGGTTCTATGAACATTTCAGCCAAAGGCTGGGGGCTTACAAGCAGCCAAGGGGAGGAAAAGAATGTCGCCGGCTTCAGCGGGTTTGAGGGAAAAAGTAGGTAAGCCACCCAGATGCTTCCAGAGCACACTCAGGCGAGGTTTTGGATGGAGCTCGACCACCAGGGACGTCTTGCCCAGGCGCTGCTGGTTCCCCTAAGGGCCGTTTGCCTGGCAAATGGCGACTCCTCTCCCACGCGGCACCCACTCGGATCACAATGCTAGTTACAACTGGAATAGGAGGCGTGGGCGAGCATATTTATGAGAGGGAGAAAAGAAATACAACTTAAAAAACCTAAATTGCTCAAAGTTTCTGCTTCTTTTGTAGGAATGGTAAGTCAACTATGAGCAAATATTTTAATTACAGGTTGAGAAAAAAACACTTTGGAAAGCATACAGAAAAAGGTAGTTAACGTTGAATCACTTAGAAAACGGAACCTCAGGGAGTAACAAAATGCACCTTCGGTCAACTTTTGCTTCCTAGACTCCTCATTTGACTTCCCGTCCCAGTGCACGTGGAAATGACAGCTGCCGCAAGGGGGAGGTGTGCCCGCCTCAGAGGGTGCGAGGATTGTACTCTGGCAGCCTCTTGATCTTCTCCTTCTCTGTCTCACTTTCGTCTCGTGCAATCACCAAGGAGTGCGAGTAGCCCATGGCCACCTGAGGGGACAAATCACCATTGGCTGTGCAGAGGTGCCTTGTCACAGAGCCTGAAGCAAGGGACAACACAACACTAGTCTACTGGATTAGCACAGGGGGTCAGTGTGGAAAGAGAGAGAGAAGGCCATTGGAAGGCGAGGAAAACCCTTTTCCCCTTCTTGACGTCGGCCAGCCTGGATAAGACCATGTCACTGACACCCTCCTAGCCAGAGGCTTCCAGGTTACACCCAGAAGCCCAGCTGGAAGGAATCCTGCAGAGCCCTTTGGGCAGAGCCTGGTGGGGACACAGGGCTCCAACACCCTTTCCACCTGCCTCCCAGGACAACTGTGCACAAGTCACTTCTGCCTTGGCACAGGGCTGGCCCGGCCATCCACCTCCTGTAGTTCTTCTTCAGGGACCTGCCCCCACTCAGCCTACTGTGTGTGTGTGGGGAGGAGATGTAACAGAGATTTGGTGCTTGCCATCAAGGGCCTGACCAGCTCTCCTCTGCCATAGCCATCAGGTACTGTAACATGAAGACAAGACTGTCAGGAGACAGCACAACAAGCCGAGGTCACAGCATGAAGTGTACGACAGGTCCGTCCTGCACAAGGCCCAGGCTCACCTGCTCTGAGAAGATGCCGTCCAGAGTCTTCACCTCCTGGGCTGCAGTGGAAGACTTGGGCTTATGGTCCCCGTAACCCTGGCAAGGTAAACAGAGGAGATGTTCACAGACACAGGGACCAATGTGGTGCAGTCCCCAATTTCCAGGAGTCCCACGAACCAGGAGACAGAGAAAACACCCCCAACCACTCAGCACAGGGCCAGGTGAGCTACCAACACTTATCTACGAAGGCTGTGCTCTTGATCTGAGAAAGCTCAAGATGCGAAATCCTAACCAAGGGTCTACGGGGAGCATCACCACACTGACAGCAGGCGACACCCTGCCCTAGGAAGAAATGGCAACAACACCGGTCTGGCCTATGTGGTCATAAACACCAGGGCTTCCCAAAAAGTCCACTTGCTCCCTCCTGGCTTCAAAATCCCTGTTTCAAAGGTTGAAGTCTAACACCCTCCTCCACAATTCATCCTTCCTTCTCCAAGAACTCAGAGAAATGAGAAACTAGTCAGACTCTCTCAATCTCTTTGTTTCCAGGGGCATTTGAAGGGGTCATCCTTGTCTGGAAGCCCCATCTGAGGTGTGCAGAGCACCAGGGAGGAGCAAACGGCACAACAAGCCCCGTGGTCACTGGAGAGTCAAGCAAAACCCCTCCTTACCCTGCCTCCATTAACCCAAGAGGACAACAGCGAGGGGAGCTAAGAAAGTAAGTTAAACTGCTAGATCAAGTTGAGGCTGAACCTGTGACAATAGAGGCAGACCATTAGGATAACCCCACAGCTAACCCAGTCTTCACCAGGAAACTCAAAGCTGAGATTCACTGAGTACCAGAACCTAAGGTTAGGATAGGGATGACCAAGCATGAGCAATCACAGGTCTGACTTCATTCTGGTGTTGACTAAAACCTAGGAAAGCAAACTTAAAATTGAATGTCCCTGAATCACCTCCATGGCTGGCCTGATGGCACCCTCCATGAAACACAAAGGGCCAAAACTGCCTAAGCCGAGAGGCCAACGATATAGGAAGTCAGAAAAACTAGACGCTGCTCCCTAGAAAGACACCGCCCCCTGGAGCGGGAAGAGGGGCCTTTCCCATCACCACAACTCAGGCTCACGTAGGGAGAAAGCAGCTCTGAGGCTCCCACTGCCACACTTCATAGTGTCGGTAGTGAGGACTCATTCTAAGATCCATCAGCACAGACTGCCTTGAAACCTACTGGAACCCAAAGCCTATGGAACCATGTAGACCTTAATGCAAGAAGCAGGAACACACCAACACCCAGTTCCCCGAGGCCAGAGCCCTGCACGGCCCGCCTATCCCAGCAGGTGCTGGCTGGCTCACCAGTTCCCCAAAGGTTGGCGAGGGACCCCAGCTGATGGTGCTCTCATCCGCCGCCACAATGATGCTGCTCTTCCTGCAAAAGGCAGAGACTGTCACCAACCACTAGCCACCAGGGACACCCCTACACGGCTGCCTGCGCACAGCCTAGGTGGGAGGACAGGCTTCCAGGGTCATGGACATCCCCTTGATACCACACCACACTCATCTCTACACTGCAAACCCAATGGGTGGGCAGCTTCTCTCAACACTGAGACCATCCCTTGAGGGCCACCTGAACCCAAAGCCTTTCACACGGCCTGGAACCAAAAGCAGGGGTCTCGATGCCCACCCTGGGTCCTGGGGCTCTTGGAGAGAAGACACTTTGCAAGGCACAACAGGAAGAGATGAGGCCACATGGGGATGAGGTGACAGCCTATTTCCCCATGAACAGGACCTCACTCACAGGATGTGGGGGGCTGACCCCCACACTGGTAACTGTCAGGTGATTAACATAAGACTCTGCCCTCTACCCTGCTGGGTAGCTCAGCAGGTGTTCCTCAAGGACAATCACAGGGTTCAAAGTCATCTCCTCCTGCCAAGCAGCTCAAGTCCACAGTTTCCAATTAAGGATAATTTATCAACCTCTGCGTGTATTGTTTCCAAGAACTAAAAGCCTTCAAAATTTCTTTCTGCCCATGAAAACAGGGAAGGGGCCACCTATCCTAATGCCACCACCCCACCCTGTGCACCGCCAAGACCCAAACAGGGAGTCCCCTCCAAGGAATAGGCCCACTGCATGCACCAGAAAACAATGCCACCTACCCACAGGCCAGGCTCCGGATCCTCCAGCCACAGAGATCCTGCACTGTTTTCGGGTACATGGTAGACTCACGGGAGGTGTTGGTGGCTCCCCAGAAAAACAGCCCACCTAAAGGAGACAAAATATGTTCATATCACAAACCCCCTCCGTACCGCCCATCACCAGGGAGCGTCCAGGTTAAGAGGATGTTGGGAAATAGTAAATCAGGGTTCCTAATGTTGGGGCTGAACAATGGCTATGTGTTCCCATCCTCCCAGGAGCAGTGATCTGCAACAGAGGGAAGAACCACAACCTGGCTCTGGACACCCGAGCATAGGCAGGGATGGAACCACTGACCCACTTCACTGACGGCGAAGGAGCAGGTGTAGCCAGCATAGATCTGGGATGCCCCCCGCCCGGGGAAGTCAAACAGCTTCACCAGACGAGGCACCATCTCATCCTTCTGCTCTGCGTGGCCCAGTCGGCCATAGCCACCAAAGCCCCAAGAGAAGACACGCTTCTGGGAGTCCAGGACCAGCTGCAGGAAGGAAACACAAGGCTGGGACAAACAGGTCTCCACAGAAGGTGATGAAAGTAGCCTTCAGTTTTGTCCTGGAGGACCTGGGACAGCAACTATAGCAGAGGGGTAGGATAAAGAGGGAAGCAGAATATAGGCCAGCTCACACTGAGTCTCTAGCAACACAATTTCCCTTTAAGTCAAGTCTTTCCCTTTCCCTCACCAGAGACAATGGGGCAACTCGCTTTCCATTACAATACTGACAAAACTGCACAGAGAACAAGGAGGAGAAAGCCTGCCCATCCTGCCTTTTCCTTAGACTTCCCTGCCCACTGGCACACAGGACACGCAGGTGAGCTGCAGCTGGGTCCCTGATGAGGTGAGCAGACACTGCAACTGTTTACAATCTGTTTTTTCTTTCGTTCCTTAGATGTTTCATGTCTGAACCAGGTGAATGTATAACTTACTAGGCACCATCCCCAGAATCTCAAGAATGAATGAAAAACATAAGAGACCCTAAGCAGGCTCTAACTTATTTCCTGAACACACTCCATAAACAGAACCCTGGAGTCTGGCCTGGCAGGAGCTGAGCTCCCAGTGCAATCCTACTCCTGCCCGCCAACTGGAACCATGGATGCTGGAGCACAGAAACACCCTCTCCTCACAGGATTTGGGCAGGGGGAAGAGATCAGGTCTTACCGTGTGATTAGCGCCACAGGCCACGTCTCGCACCACCACATTTGGGACGGGCAAAATCTGCCCATCCTTTGTCTTCTCAATGAAGATGGCCACCCGCCGAGGCACCAGCTCGCAGTCGTACTCTATCCGCTGCGCCCGAGCAATAAACTTCCCATCTGAGTTGTGTCCTGCAGACACCAGAGCCAGCAGTCAGCAGCAGGACATGGTATGGGGACACAGGTTCATGGTAGCTGCCGTGCCCTGGCCAGCCTGGGACCTCTGGCTTCTTTAGTCTGAGCCTGGCCTACTCAATAGGTTAGGAGATCAATTTTGTGGATATAGACCAGTCAATTTTTAGAAATGAACTCAACAGAATAAAAACACCCAAAGAGCAGCCAGGTGTGGTGGTGCATACTGTAATCCCAGCACTGGTGAACCTGAGGCAAGAGGATAATGGCAGGTTTAAAGCCAGACTGGGCTACAGAGTAAGCTTTGTAAAAACAATAAAAAAAGCTTTCTATACCCTGTAACCTCAAACACATGAAACAGTAGGAACATTTAACTTGTGAAAATCCCTTGCACGCATTTGACCTTCACCTTGGAATGCAGTGTAAAACTTGCTTCTCCCTGTGGGTGTGGTCACAGCAGGGCAAGCTACTGAATGAACAGTCTACCAAGTTTGATCTGTGCCCCTTGTGAGGTACCTCAGAGAGCCCAGATGATTCAACACAAGGTTTTCAACTTGTATCTAAGAATTACCCGTAATCTAAGTGTATCAAAGGATGTGAAGACCCAGATTAACACACACCCCAACTGACAGCACAGCACCTGAGGCCACGAGGGTGCAGTTCCTGTACCAGTAACTTGCAGCTGGGCTGCCCAAGGTCCTGGAAATAAACCAGGGCACTGGTGTTCCTGAGGCTGTCACCCCATCCGCAGGGGAATCTTAGGCAGACACTATGCCTTCACCCAGGGAATGTGTGGGTTGCAGCACTGCTAGGCTGATCTGGGCTAAACCCTGGATGGAATGCTTGTTTGTACACCGCCCCTTTCCACAAGTGTGAATGCTACACTACTTAAATGCCCTGAAATCACTGTTTTGGGGCACTGCAGCTCATGACACCAGCTCTCAGACACTGCTAACTTTAAAGTCTGAGGGTCACCACCAGGATATTTCCCCATCTTTCCAGGGTTCTGGCACATTTTAGGACACTGTAAGAAATTGTGTGCACTTCAGAATAATGGGAGCTATTTCTCACAAAAAATAAATCAAACGGTGGATTACATGCTTGGTTTCTTGCTGGCAAGATTCCTACAAAGCAGCTGATACACGAGTTGGCCTGTCCCTTCAACATGCTATGAAAAGTCCTGAATCCTGAGACAGTCCCCAGAGGGCAAGAGTATCTTCTTTAAAGGAACTTTTCCTAGAGTACAAGACAAGTCCCACAGGGCATGTGGGACAAGGGGCTTCCCCCTTTCTCTGGGGAGATGACAGCCTGTTAAATGGCACACTCCTATCTTTTTGCCTTGCCCAACCCAGTAAGTCCGCTGCAGAGAGCGGGAGAGATGGCATGTGTGCAGGTGACACTCTTCTAAGGTCCTTGCTCCACTCTAAGAGCTCTACTGGGACGAGGCAACATTGGAAACCTGTTTCAAAGTAAGCTGCTAAGTTAAGAAGAATTCCACAGACAGAAGCCAAGCCAGTTTCCTAATGACCTTTAAAAGACACCAGCAGAATGAAGAAGGATCTGTACATAAGAAGGGCTCCATAAGCGTCATCCTTATTGCTGCTGAAAACACTTTCCCCTGAAAGAAAACCACTTTGCCAGATGAGCTGTGTGTTTGACTCCTGGGGAAGCAGGAGGCAGCAGGGGAGCTGTACGTGTAACAGGAAGCACAAAAAACGCCCTTCCGGTATGGGGGGGGGGCAAAAGAGGTGGGGAGGGGGTGGGGCAAAGGCTGGGTACAGCAGTAGGGCCGTGACCATGGAAACCATTTATCCAATAGTCCTGACAACTCCCAGCAACCAGCACGGATGTGCGTAAGGGGCTGCTCCTTCTTATTCACTTCTGACTTGAGGTATATTTAGTTTCACAAAGTCACTGTTCCCTCAAGTCTAAGGCCAGGGCGTCACTGTGCTTTCTATTTATACTCCTCCATCTGCGCACTTCTAATGACGCTGGGACTCAGCAACCCAGATCCTGGGGCAGTCATGCAGGCAGCTCAGGAGCCAGCAGGGGGCGCCCCCACCTTGACTGCTGGAGTGGTGGAAGCTCACACCTGGGTGTCAGACAGAAAGAGGACATGAAGACCTGCAGATCAGGATGGGGAGACATTTCCCCTTTGTGAGAACAGTCTGCAGGGTTCCTCTTTTCTGCTCAGAGACAAAAGCAAACATGTTTCTGGCCAAGTCCAATCTGATTAGGGATGAAAATGGAAAGCAGGTCCCAGGTCCTTTGACACACTGCGCTCTTGAGTATGAACCAGAACTACTCACCCAGCACAGGCTGTAATTTTTCTCCTTTCCAATAAAGGCAAGTTTGTATACATGAAACTGAATGAAGGAGGTTTGGCTTTTTTCTTTTCAAACTTTGAAATCCTTACATAAATGAATTTCCAAATCATAAAAACAAACCTTTTGTCAGACTCCAGTCCCGACTTCCTCACTGAGGCAAAGCACTGCACTTTTCTAAAACCCCGTGAGGAATGACACACTGTTCCACTAGATGTAAGAACTACCTAATGGATAAAGCTATTATCTGAGATCAATTACCCACACTTGTGACACGTGTGCACAGCCCCGCACTGGTTTCTGGCTCTAAATATATGGTTAGATTACAGGGCCTTTAAAAAAATGTATTTGCATACCCAGCTGGCCATACTCGGGGCACCCAAAGGAGTAGAGGTTTCCTTTGCAGTCCATTACCATACTGAACTCAGCTCCACAGGCCATTTTGGTAATTGGTTGGCCATTGTACATTATCTGCAAAGAAAAGACAGCAGACTTTCAGATGTTCTTTAAAAGACTAATAAAAAGTCTTCCCCTCTCTGCAGGGCAGCATGAAACAATTACAAGGTCACAAAGGAGATTTAATGGACTGCACAGTTGTGAAGCCCGAAGCCTAGAGCACCAGGACGACACAGGTAAAGACCACACCCTCCCCGGACAGGGTGGATGCTCGTGCACCCCAAAGTTCCAGCAGTATGCCCCCCACCCAAAGACAAGGATTGGAGGGCCATGAAGGGTTGGAGAAAACAGAAAGTCACCAGGAACCCTAAAAGCTCACTTGAGCACCAACTCCAACTTTGAGGCTAACAAAAAAAATGCTTTAGTTGTGAGTCGGCTAGACTGAACGTTTCACACTTGATCACTGAGCCTCAGAAAAAAAGGAAGGTGGAAGAGAAAGCAGCAAAGGCACTGGGATTTGGGAAAGAACCCAAGAACCTGAAAAGCCCCCAATGAACTGGAGGAATGTAGCAGAACTGCTTGACCCAGGCAAGGGAGCACCAACCCCTTGCTGGTTTGACTCTGCAAAACGTCCAGTCCACTTTGAAACTCTTCAAATCCACAAGCTCAGCCTAAGTCTAAGCCGAAGAAATCCAAGTCCCCTCAGCTGAGCCAGTACTAAGGCACTCAGCATTCTGCTGCCTGACACCAGTGGCTCATTTCTCGGGGAGATCCCACCCCTCAAACTTAACCACGAGCTCCTTAGCACCTGGAGACTGCCTCCTAGTTGTGCTCTGAGCGCCTGGCAGGTGACTGCAAGCGAGGGCAAAGCAAAGCAAAGCAAAGCACTTGCACACGGACACAGACTGATCCGCCTAACAGCTCTTACTTTCTTTGGAACAGAACACACTTATAACGAGGCTTCTCTAGATTTTTTCTTTGGGAAGGAACCCTATTCTCAGGATGGTGACCTACCATAGCGCAAACCCATTTAAAAGACACCCGTTTGCGAACTCTGCCATTACCTGTGCGGGGCTGGGGACGGCATCAGTCTGATTGCCAAGGCCCAGCTGCCCCATCTTGTTCTCTCCAAAAGCAAAAACAGAGCCCGTTTCTGGAAGGAGGAAAAAAAAAAAAATCACAAAAGGGAAAGTAATGTTGAATGTTTTAAACCAGACTTGGAACCAGATGCATCAAAAATGATACCAGCTCATTGCTAGCAGGACACGGACAGACAAAAGTCAAGGACAGCAAGGTGAGTAATTCAGAGCAAATTCACTACACAGCAGAGCTGGGAGTGCAGAGTCACTCAGCAACTGACTTCACCCCATCCCAGGACACCACAGGCAGGAGACAGCCACCTCCTTACCTGTCAATGCCAGCGTGTGGTTGCGCCCACAGGCCGCCAACACAATCACTTCGTGGCTGAGACCCTCGATGAGTCTGGGGGCTTCCACTCTCTTGGTGTCACCATGGCCCAGCTGCCCTTTCTCATTTCGACCTGCAGATCACAGCTGGCTAAGCGAGCAGAGTGAGGGTACCACAGGGGTAGCCCACTCACACGCTCCCAATAAGACTCATCCATGCCCCCAAAGAGCAGCCTCCAAACCCTCAGCCAGATCCAGGTGAGAGAAGGTTCCAGTGCCTCCATCCAGCAAAATGGTGTTCAATGGCCAGGGTAAGATGCTACAGGCCTGCACCACCTCCTCCATCCCCCTCCTCACAGCAGCAATGGGGAACCCCACATCCCCCTAAATCTCTTCCACCACAGGAAATACAAAAAAGCACTCAGTGGCAAGCCATTTCTCCACTTGCCATTTTCTACAGGAGGCCGACCCCTCAGCTCCTTCTCCCTGGGGTGGATATGACATTATCCACCTGACCCTGGCTCCACTGCTCAGCCACCTACCATGGACCATTTGGTTTCTGCCCATCATTTCTCCTCCAGTCCTTCCCCCAACTGTTCCTCACAGAACTCAGCCACCAGAACCCTGGTGACGAGGTTTGGGCCTCACCCTCTGGAGCTGCTGTGGCCATGGCCATCAAGCTTTCTCTGTGGAGGGTGGAGGATAGGCTCAGGAGGCCAAGCTGGGCCATAGCCTTGGTAGTGCCCTGGACTTCTGGGAAAACCAAATCCAGCACAAGGTGGACACTGGCTGAGCAGTAAGGAAGACTAAAAGCCTCCAAAGCCTTGTAGGTCCAAATAAAACCTCACAGTCCTCTCCCACACCTCCCTGAGATCACTGCACATGTTGCCCAATGCCTGGGGATTCATGGGGATTTTACAGGGCCCAGGGTGGGATTCACACACTTCCCCATTGACACATCTAGGTCACGAGAAACAAGGAGAGCAGAGTCACAAAGCAGAGCACCAGCTCCCTGGAGGGGACAAGTGGAGCAATGGCAGGCCTCCTGTGACACCAGGAGACCCGCCTCAGGTGTGATGTGCTCCAAGTAAAAAGCAGGCCTCAGGGTCAGCTTCCTAAGGGAGCCACCCAAGTTCACCGAGACAGGCTCATCAAGCACGTCACAGGGCAGCTAAAGCATGGTATCAGCCACTCTCCCAGTGCTGGTGCTCACAGATGCCATGCAGCTCCCGTGGCTTCTAGTGTCCAACAGTGGACTCATGATGCCCCAGCTTGTCCCACTGATGCTTGAGGACTCACATGTTTTTGACTGCGGAGTCATTAGACATGTGGTGTTCCTGCCACAGGATCAACACAAGATGTGTCTAGAACCTCAGTGTAAGTAAAACTCAGCACAGATCACAAAGAAGCTACCTTAGGTTGGGGACATAAAAGGTTGTGTCCAGCACAAAGCACAAGGGTGGCAGGGGAGGGGCAACCCAACTCCAACTGGGAGCAAACACAATTTGGGGTAAATGTTGGTGTGTCATCAGGAGCCCGTGAAGATAAATTTGGGCCACACATACTTGTTAGCCACCCGCCCGCCCCCCAGCAGAGTGCAAAGAAGACAACAGATGTTAACATATTTGGACTTTGGTACAACAGCACGTTAAATTGCAAAAAAAAAAAAAAAAAAAAAAAAAAAAGCTCAAACACACCAAAATAAAAATGCAGTCACATGGACTAAAAGGCAGCCAGAGGGCCAGAAACAGGGTGGGCACTAACGCCAACGCCCCAGCTGGAGAATAGCCGGAAGCTGCCGAGGAGGGCTCAGGATGAGAGGAGCCTTGGTCAGTGCCCATGACCAACTTGGAGGGGAAAAAAGTCCCCGGAAAGCCAGGGAGAGGGAGAGGCAGGACAGAATCACCCCAAGTCGTCAGGTGGGGAGAAACAAGCAAAACAGGCCCTGGTCCATAGGCAGTGCAGCCAGATGTACTGATGCAGGGCTTTGGGTGACAAGAGGTGGCAGCTACAAAAGCCAGTGGAATTTAAAGAGGTGAGGACAGAGGCCTTCTGCCATATGGTGCTGCAAAGCACGAAGGGGACTGTGTGCAGAGAGACGGCAGGACTCAAGCAGTCAGTGGGTCTGAGGCACCTCGGCATGACAACATTGTGGCCTCCACCAGCACAATCAGGAAAAGTTGCCTGGAGAAGGAGAAGGTTCAAAGACCCAGAACAGTGAATGGTGGAGGAAGGGGATTTGTGTGCAGGGTTGCAAATGGAGAAACATGGCTGCAAACAGTAGGCATGAGCCTGCTCCAGGCATACAGGAACAAGTTCCCAGATGGGGCCCAACACTCACCCCAGCTCCACAGCTTTCCTTCAGTGGTGATGAGGAGGCTGTGGGCAGCACACGAACCAGAGACCACCGTCCGCACTCGGACCCCTGATAGGCAGCCATATCTGTGCGGCCCCCACAGGTTCTGACCAAGATTGCGGTAGGCAGCTGTAAAGGGAACGGGAATGGAAATCAGACCCCTGCACACACTGATGGGAGAACATCTTAGAATGTCACTAGCCACAGGTGCAAGGGGCAGGTGTTCCCTAGGGTGCTGCACTGGCCTAGCTATTGGGAGGACGCAGAATAACGAAATCGTACCTTGAATTTCTGTGCTACCTAACGGTCCTAAAAGCAGGCTGGAGAAGGAGCTGGTGTAGCCCTGGTGTCACTGGCCACCTTTACACTGGTATTGCCAATCCCACCCCACCCCACCCCGACTGACCCTGACCCACAGTCATGAGCCCACCAGCTGCCCTGGGCTGGTCCCTAGCCCTTTCACAAGGCAGCATGTGGCCTTTGGTACCCCATCTCTGGGCTCTGGGGATGGCCTAGGCACACCCCACCCCACATTCACACACTGCCAGTGCTGGTCTTGAGTGCCCCATCAGCCTCAGAGCACCTACCCTCCTTGTGTCTGTCTGTCCCTTTGATGAAGGTTCCCTGCCCACAGTCCTCCCCAGCTCTACCTCCTGTCAGTTGCATTTTACCCTTTCTTGGGCATCTCGGCCTTTGCCCATGCATCCATTTTCTCCAGCATGTCCTTCAGACACTGAGGTGCCCACGTCAGACTTAGATGTCCCTTTTATCCCATGCTCTAGACCCAGCATGGCCCATTTGCCTCTCATCCTATGACCAGCAGCCCCAAGGCAGAGCTGTGCTCTGTTTCCCCTATGCCCAGACCTCACAAATGCCAGGTGCACAGTGAGCACTCAGTTCTGCCAACAGGACATGGGAGGGAAAAGAACCAGCCACGCCCTCCATATCCCCACTTCCCCTATTGAGCTTGGCCAAGTTTCCCAATCTGGGGCTCTGGAGAGCACTTCCAGAATGGTGGTGACTATTTTGAGAAGCCAGCCACTGAGGGTCACAAATGCCAAATGCGTCTACATAGGACCTGATTCTCCATCTGTCACCTGTGAGGTGTCAGCCATGCCCACTCTGCTCCCAGCTCCCCTCCCTCAGTTACAGGGCAAGTTTCCTGTGGTGTGTCATAGAGGGCTGTGGATGAGATAGCACAGTCATGCCAAGCCTGCAGACACCTCCACAAAAAGGTGAGAAGAAAACCAACAATTTCCAGGGGACAGAGCAAACCAAAAGACAGTCCTGCAAACTATTCAAAATTTAGGAGAAACCCTAAGGGTGGCACCTAAGTGAAAGAAGACGGCAGCTGTTATTAAAAAAAAAAACAAAACTGGGGAAAACAGAAAGAAGTCTACCAACAAGAAGGCAAACAAATGGTGGCACGGCTGCAGCAACAACACCCAGCACTAGGGGGTGCCCACTCATACACAAGTGGCTGGGGCTACTGACAAGTTAGGAGGAGCTGCCTCCAGGATGCCTCAGCTGGAGAGAAGCAGGGTTTCTCCTGCCTTCAGGGATCTCTGTTTAGGGAGGTCCAAGTCAAAGTCAGAACCGAGCTGTGGCCCCAGCTCCAGCTCTGCAGCCAGGCTGGTAGACATTACTTCCCATGGCCTCCAGATCACGGTTCTAATCAGGCTAGAGTGGCAATGCCCTGGTGCTGTCACGTAACACCAAGGGTCCAACAGGCCTGAGGGAGGCCTGAGGGATGGCAGCTCCACAGAGCACAGACAGGGTGGATGGGGCACACGCTGCTCCCGCCACCTGCAGCTCAGATTCTAGGAAAGGTCTAAAAATTTAAATTAAAAAGCAAAATCACACAAACCTGCCTTTGGAGGGAGAAAATTCAGGGAAGTGAAGGGAACAGAAAGGCATCCTTGAGATGAGCCCAGTTAGGGCAGAATTCACTCAAGAGTCAAGTCTACTTTGCACCCACCGCTCAGCTTCTGGACTTTCTGGAGGTTTGCAGGGAAGCAGTGGCACAGCCTCAGAGCACTGGAGAGCACTGGAGAGCACGGACCCACCCGCCCCGCTGGTGCCTCAGTCTGAACTTACTTGCACCTCTGCCCCATGTGCTCCAACTGTGAGCCATTCTACTCAGCACAAGCGCAGCACTGGCAAAGGTGCCACCAGCACTCAGGCTGTGATGTCACAGGCCAAGAGGCGTGTCCTGGGACACAAGGGGAGCTGCAACCTGCCAGGTCCACCTCTCACTCGGCAGGACCCCGTGCCACACTGCTGCCTTCCTGGACATGCTCTCCAGTGCCCATGGTGAGGCACTAGGGCGTGCAAATATTTGTTCATGGGCGAACAATGCTGGAAAGCACTTTGGGCACCTTTCCCAATGAAATCAAGGAGCCATAAGATATGGCGCTTTGCCAGACTTCTCTTGGATGGGCCCGTCGCCCGTGAGGAAAGACATCAATGCTCTCGGCTCCTGACTCCCCACCTCCACTGACCATCATTCTGTCAGCCTAGTTCCTGCAACAAGCTGGGAAACCAGTGTGGACACTGCTGAAGTGTGACGTCTCCACACCTGACATTCAGTAAGTGTCTAGGATGTCCTGCCACCATCATAGGACAGCCCCTTCATTGTGAAGAATGTAGGTGGCAGCAGGAGGAGAATGAAAGGTGTCTCTGCTTGTCTGAGGATGCTATTTACATTTTCTGAGGGACCTTAATAGAACTCCATACAGGAGCAGGGTTCAAGTCCAGCTCCCTCACTGCAGTGGCTGGGTGGCCTCAGGCAAGTCTGAGTATACCTACCTGGCAGGTGGCCACCAGAAGGGCACCTGACACATAGCACAGAACAACCAGTTCTGGGAAGCATTTCTCATACCTTGTTGCTTCGGCACTTCTTTCCGACCGATCAAGTCCCAGTTGGTCGCCCCAAAAATCAGAAGCTGCCCTTTGCACTTAGACCCTTCAAGTTTCTACAGAGACAGAGAGGGAAAGGAATTTAGGGCCATTTTGAGATTTCCAAGGCTGTCCTACAAAACAAGAGATTTTTTGAGACAGTGTCTCCTCATGCAGCCCAGGCTGGCTTCAAACTCGCCATCCTCTTGCCTCAGCCACCTGAGTTACAGGAAAGTTCCACCACGCCCAGATTGAAAGCAATTCTTTGTTGGTACATTCACCCAGGGGCTGAGCACACCCATCAGAGGTACCACCCAATTACCCCCTTGCCTACACACTCCAAGGTGGATGACCCCAAACTTGTAGACAGCAGCTTCCTTATTATGCCTAAGCTCATCTTGACACTAAAAACAAGCCAAATGACATTCCTTCCCCTACTCTGTGCGCTGCTTACTTAGAGACACTTGCACAAAGCCTGCCCTGCCTCATGGGGAAATTACAAGTCGGTCGTACGGGGGCCAAGTCTACATTTTCCCATGGCCAGCCTGTGGTCCGCCAGTGGCATTTCTGCATGATCACCACATCATCATCCCTGTGCGCTGCCCAGTGTCAACAGCCTTTCCACAGGGAGCCAGGAGGGACATGAGAGATGGGTGTACAACTTCTCCAGGGGAGGGAGGAAGGCATGGGAGGATACAGCCTAGGGAGGCGGCGTGGAGGTGTGCAGCAAGAACTGACCCAGGAGGCCTTCAGTGGACTCACAATGGTGCCCAAGAGCCAGGGTCCAATGGTGAGTGGAACAGGGGACCTCCCTCAGGGTCGGAATGCCACTTCCAGCCTGGACACTGGTTCTTATCCCCCATCTACCTCAACACAAAGTCACCAGTCTTCTGACTGTCCGAATGAATCTGTGACATTTTTAAAGGCCACTGTCCATTTCTGGCAGTACTCGTAAGATTCTGAGCACTTTACCTTCTAAAATGTCAAAATACACGAGGTTTTTCTTTCTTGAAATACACTTTTTAAAGTGGGTTGTAGGTTGTGCGTGTGGCTCCGTGGCTTAGCAGTAGAACACTTGCTAGCATGTGCAAGGTCCTGGGTTCCATTCCCAGCACCTTATAATAAATACGTTAATTAACAATTTCCTTAAACACAATGAAACAAAGTGGATTGTTAATCAAAGACTCAAGTCCACGGGACCACTGAGCTCCACGGTGGCGAGGGCAGCATGGCCCTCACTGCTGTCTGTATACTCTACACTACTATCCCAAGACAGAGAGAGCAAGGGGTCCCTTCACTTCACAGAACTGTTCTCAGATGGCCTGGAGCAAAACAGGCAGCTCCAGGTCCAGGCAGCCTGGCAACAGGACCCACAGTTTTTCAGATCACACGTTTGGGATGATCACATCTGGCTCTTAGGAAACCTGACAACCCCGGTGTTCCCCAGAGTAAGGACCCAGCCACACTTGAACACATCCATGTGACAGGACCCGTCTCTCAGCCAGCCGCTCAGGCAGCAATAGCACAGGAACAAACACCACCTTGGCCTGCTGAATTATTCAAAGCTGTTCTTCTACAGAGGGTTCCCCCTACCCCAGCACCCAGCCTCAGGTTACTTGAACTGGAGCCTACTTTCCCCTACTATTGTCTCCCCTTGTTTGTTAAAGGCAGGTGTAGCTGCGATACGCTGCAGGCCTCGGTCCCTGGGTATGACAAGGTCCCCATGGAAGGAAAGGCCCTAGATTCTCTGCCCAAGTCACTGACTTGTGCTCAATTCTTTAGGTCAGTGTGGAGGGGGCAACAGAGACACAGGAGGGGAGCTAAGGTCCTGGGAACAAAGACAGGAAGAGGGCATCGAGATGTTACTCCAGGCCACAGCATCCTGCATCAGCAGTGCCCCCTGGACAGGTGGAGGGGTCAAGGGTGGCCATCCTCAGCCCTCACCATCAAGGGCAAGCCACCCAATCACCCAACACTGGGACAATCTCTGCAAAAACCTCACCAGTGCTAAGGTTACCCCAGGACCCCAGGGGCTCACTGTGTGCAACTGACCAGCACCTGTCAGCTAGACTTCTAATTAAGGGCTCATGAGGCCCTTCAAGTCAGCTAACATTTACACAAAAATTCCACCTTTCTTGACAGTGGTTGGCCTCCCATGAAACCCTGAACTACATCTTCCTTCAAGTTTTTACCGGTACAGGCCCTACGTTCCCTCACTAGGTGGACGTGACTGTTCTCCCTGCTACTGACACAACTGTTTGCTACAAGCCACTCACCTTAATCTCTCCACAACTTAATTCTTCCCTCTATCTCACACAGAGTAAGAGACTTAGGTGCTACTTGCAATTCCCGTTCAATCACAGCCCATGTCACTCGGCCACAGATCTCTAACAGCCTAGCATGTTGCAGATCCCCCAGGCCCAATGGCCTTATCCAGGGGGATTCCGGTGAACGGATGGATGGATGTCAAGAGCCCGAAGGTGCGCTGGGGCTGCAGTTCAATGGTAGAGCAAGGCTGAGTTTGATCCCCAACCTCAAAAAGGCCAGAACCCCAAAGCCTAACCGCTGATGAGCCAAGAGATGGTTTTGTGGATGAACTGGGTGACTGCAACATTGCCGTGTTTAGAGGCCTAAGTAGGAACAAGCCTGAGAAAACAGTCCTCTGACAGGATGAGTGAGCTCCATCTCACCTTGCTCTCTGCCAACAACTGGCCACCAGTGACAGTGGCAGAAAAATGTGCTCAGCTTCCTCGACTAGCAAAAAGGGGTTTCTAGTCTCAAGAATTCAGAATCACTGTCCTAGTGCCAGAGGCATGTTTGCAAGACCGGGCAGACCTGTTCACACATCCATTCAGGAGCCGGCTGCACTCGGAGGAGGAAGGCCACAGACAAATGCTGGCAGCAGGAAAGTCCCCAATGGGCCGGCAACTCAAACGCTTCAAGTTGGACCTTCAGCTGTATTTAGTTGTCCTTTCAGATTGGACAGATTAGTCTTGGGCTTCATGAAACCTTAACAGCCCCAGACAGGAAACACTCCACAGACCCAGACACCGCACACTGCCTCTTCCTAAGGATTCAGCCAAGGCAGGCTCATGGCAACCAGGGCTGAGCCACACAGAAAGCTCCAGGAACAGAGAGCACTGTGGAGTTGTAAGCATGCTTTATAAAAATACCCACCTTTCACACACAGTAACTATCCCACCACACTCTGAGCGTGTGGTTCGCTTTCCCAAGCCCACTGCCTGCAGCCCCAAGCTGAGAGAAGGCAGAGGCAGGCGGCCTGGGCCAATCCCAAAAGCCCCCTTCAGCACCCACAAGTGGAGAGGCTGGTAAGGCTCCTTCTTTAACAGCTAGGGACTGCTGGTGGCCTATAGAGGGCAACCAGGACCCCAGGGCCAGGGACAACAGGCAGGAGGCCACCCAGGACAAGGAGCAGACTATAAACCTAGGCTCGTGGGAAGGTAGCAGAACTACAAGGCTCAGGGCCAAACTAAGCTGATCCTAACAGAAACGGAAATGCAATGTATACCATCCAAAGGCATAAAGAAGCATAACGTTCCCGGATTCACCTATCCTAGGATGGTTTGCTGATCGGCCCAAAACATCAGCCCGACAGTCCCTGTAATGTTCTACGGTGAGGGAATGAGGAACATATGGTGGCATGCTCCTGGAATCCCAGCACTCAGGAGGCTGAGGAAGGAGGTTTCTGAGTTTGAGGTCAGTCTGGGAAAGATAGGGAGCTCCAGAACAGCCTGGGCTACACAGCAAGCCCTCTCTCAAAAAACAAATAAATAAGAATTATTATTTCTTGTTTCTACACACATGTGCAATCATATGTGTATAGATATAGGAATCTAAGTTGTCAGATGTAAACATACAACAACCATAAGCTGCAATGTCCTGCTGCATCTACTTGGAGCAATGGGCTCTCCAGTAAGACTCACAGAAGGTGACACTTCCAAGGGACAAGCCAGCTCTGCAAGGCTGGTGCAGGAGGGCTTCAGCCCCTCCAACACTACCTCCGCAACTATCCTACTGGATGAATCTCGCATGGGAGAAGAATCTTTTAGCTCCTGACATCACAACTCATCACTCTTAAGCGTGGACTGGAGTCATGCAGCTGACAACTTGTATGTACGGAAACAAGCCTGCTTTTGCAGAGGCACTCAGAACACAGCAGAGGGGGAAGCCAGCAGGCCTAGTCCTAACACACTGTGGGGGGTGGAGAGGTCTAGCAAAGTGATTTGATCTGCCAAAGAACAGCAGTTCCTGTGTTCCCCTCTCTCAATACGCTGGGTGGGCCCAAGACCTTGCAGGGCAAGGCCTTCTGACATGGGCTCTCCTCCACCTCTAGCAACCTTCCCCTGGGAGGGCAGTTAAAGATGGCAACCTGTAGTGATCTACTGTCCCTTTCTATCATCTGGGAAAGGCCCTCATTCTGTCCTTTCTCCAGCTCTGAGGAATATAGGTAGGGCCCTACCACTAACCTCTGTGACACTGCTGGAAAGCCTCCTTAATCATTACTGAGAGCACCCAGTGGGAAGAAAAAGCTCCTCCCCGAGTGTTCCTTTTTGGGGTCATCTTGGAAGATGGTCACAGCTCTCGCCCTCTCCTCCAAAAGATGCCTCACACCAAACTTGCAAAAAGTTCTGGTGTGGACACTGGGCTCTGGTCTCCAGCCACGCAGCATTTTGCGGACTGTTAGGCTGAGTGGGTCACGACTTGAGCAACTGAGTGTATTAACTAAGCCTCAGGAAGTACTTATGCACCAGGGACTACCCCGAACCAGGGCCAGTACCCCGCGTGGCAGCCCCCGGGTACCAGACAAAGCCCTGCACCCCTCCGCGGGGGCTGCCCTGACCAGGGAGGGCCTCGGAGCATGCGCCCGCGCATCCGCCGGCGCCGGCGGCCCCCGCCTTCTCCGCGCGCGGAAGGCGCAGGGCGCACGGGGCATGCGCGAAGGCCGGCAGGCCCCGCCCCCCCAGGGCGCCGGAGCCGCGGCGGCGGGAACCTCAAAGCCCGGGCGCGAGCCGCCGCTCCCCGCAGGGCGCCAGCCGCCGCTCCCCGGCGCGCCCGGGCCAAGCGGCGGGCACGTGGGGCGAGGAATGAACGCGCTCGAGGGGCTCCCCGCCGCCGCCGCTCCCGGTCGGAGCGAAGTTCCCCAAGTCCCCGCTCGGGGCGGGGGAGGGGCGAGGGAGCGGCTCGTGCGGCGCCGGGGCCGGGGCGTGACCCCCCGCAAGGCGGCGGCGGCGGCGGGCGCGGGCTGTCGCCACCCCCGCTCTCCCTCCCCCCTCCCGCGAGATTCGGGGCGCGCGCCCCAACGACCAACGGCCCGCGCGGCCCTGGGGTCTGCAGGCCGCGGCCCGCGCCCGCCGCCGGCCCTTTTGTGCGCGGAGGCGGCGATGATTCAGCCGCGGCCTGCGCCCGTCCGCCCGCCGGGCCCCACTCACAACGCGCTCCTTGGTGTGCTCGGGTTCGGTGATGACCACGGCCGCGCCGCCAGCCTTGCCCGCCGTCGCCGATCGCGCCGCGCGCTTGCCGCCGCCGGGGGCCCCGTCGAGCTCCAGGCCGTCCTCGTCGCCGCTGCTGCCGCCGCCGCTGCTGCTACTGCAGCGCTCGGGCCGCTCGCGCTTCCTGCCCCCTGGGCCGCCGCGCTTTCTGGGCCCCGCGCGGGCCGTGCCGTTGCCGGAGCTCGGCTCCTCCCAGGCCGCCGCCGCCGCCTTCTTCCTGGGCATGGTCGCGGCTGGAGGAGACACGGGGCAGCGCGCACAATGGACGGGTTATAAACTGCGCGGGGGGAGGGGAGGAGACGCGCCACCGGCCTCCACTTCCTCCCCTGCCCGCCCCAAAGCGGCGGCGGCCGCGGGTGGGCGGAGGGGGCGAGCCCGAGAGGAAATCGCGCCCCTCCCGGCTCGGCCGGCGCCTCCGGGGAATCCCGCGCGGGAGAGCCTCGGGGAGCGACCGACCCCGGCCCGTCCCCAAGTTAGGTCTGCGCACAAAGCATCGCAGTTGCAGCCTGGCCCCGGAGAAGTGCAGGGGAAGGAAAAGGAGCCCGGATTTCATTACGGAGGGCTTCGGGACACTTTAGAGATGCTTTTGGTAGAGGGTGGCGAAGCACCCCCACATCGCCCCACCTGCTGCTTTTGTCCCCGCGCCCCCTCCCCGAGCCACTCGGAGGAATGCGGTGCTCCCCCCATCCGGCCGCCCCGACACTCCAAATCCGGCCCGGCCTGGGCGTCCCGACCTCAAGTTTCAATTCGCTGAGCCCCTTGGTGGGTGCCCCGCGAGGGGGCCCCCGAATAAAGCCGCCCCCCAGCCTCAAACACCTGCTCACACAGACAAGGAAAACAGAACTTTAATGGGGCCCCTTCGTCGGCCGCGCGCTCGCCGGGTCGGCTTCGCTTTTTTTCTTTTTTTTTTTATTGATTTTGAACAATGGGATCTCTGTTTGTCTCCGATTAAGCCACGTGGATCCGCCTTCCTTCCCCTTCTTATTCATTCAATCCCCCAACCCTCCCCCTTCCCCAGAGTTTTTTTTTTTAAGCCTTTTCTCTTTAAAAAAAAAAAATACGGGGGAAAAAAAAAAAACTTTCCCAGACCCCGCAAACTGATCCCAGTCGATTTCCAGCCCCTACCTGGTTGGAGTGATGAGAAACCGGAGCGAAAAGGGGAGAGGAGCGACTAAAAGATGGGCCGCAGGGCTCCTTTCTTTTTCCGGCCCAGACGAGGGCTGCAGCCCACTCACCAGATACACTTAAAATGTAAATACGAGCTTCCAGAACAAATGCTACAACACAAAACAGAAACACATGTGCTGCCGGGCGGCAAGCGAGCGCGCGGCGGGGCGGGCGGCGCGGGGCCCGGGGCGCGCGCGCCCCCTGCCGGCCGGCGGACCCGCGCCCCCGCCCCCGCGCCCACCCGAGCGTGCGCTCCCCGCGCCACGCCGCACACCAGCCTCTCCGCGCCTCTGCGCGTTCGCAGGCCCGCCAGCGTGCCCGGGGCCTTCTCCGCAGCGCGACCTGCGCTTCGGGGACGTCTGTGGGACTCGGGAGAATGTTAAGATCGTTTTTGCTGGGCACATCTAGACAGGTCACCTGAGGACACTCGCTGGAAAATAGTTACTTCGCTCACGCAGCAGCCAACAAGGGACATGCCCTAATTGAGTGGTCGGAATGAAAGATGAATACAATTTGAATAACTTTCCATGCAGAGAGAGGCTGGATTTTATTTGCCTATAGACGTGACCCCAGTATGTAGCAAGGTGCTGTTACACGAGGCCAAAATAGACGAAGGTTTGATATATTATTGAATTAATTAGGAATTAGTTTGAGGACCACGGATGCACTGGAAGCCAGTTTTGATGGAATTTTTCACTTTTTGGCGTATACTGAGCCCCCTGTATATGTAAGTCTCACAGCGCTAGATACAAACCTGGGGAACAAGATTTCTTCCCTGGTAGAACATACAGTAAAGAAACCCAGATGAATTAAACAAGCAGTTGCAAATTCGATCAGCGTTACAAAGTGATGCCGAAGTAGGAACCTTACGGCGAGGAAACATACCCTATTCCAGGGCTAGAGAAGGCAGTGCAGGGAAAGCCGGCTGAACAACTTAAAGGAAAGCTAAGAACAGAGCAAGGGCAGGAAGAGTTTCCCAGGCAGGTAGAAAAAAGAGTGCATAGCCCAGGGATCCTGGGAGGGAAGTGCCCGGTGGGGCTGAGGTGAGGGATTAAAGTGGCTAGACTGAAGAGGGGCCGCCCATGCTAGCTGAGTAAGCCACAATGAAGATTAATCATTACTGGAAGGTCTGGTGGGCTCCTCCTGGGAGTGGGGGAGGAAAGGCTGATGTTCCTCCTCCTGAACCCCCTCCACCCCACACAAAGTGATCTTAGTATCACTCTGTCTTCATCCAAAAAAATTTCACCTGCTTCTTTCTTCTGTGGGCAAACTGCATAAGGAAGTTCCTTTTGGCAACTTCCTGCAGATGGCTGGAATGCTAGAATCTTTGCAATTCATACTTCATTAATCGTTATAGCAAGAAACAGAATGGGCGGCAACAAATGACTAAAGGAATATAGATGCCAGGCTCAGTGGTGCACAGCCGTAATCCTAGCATTTAGGAGGCTGAGGCAGGAGGATGGCCAATTCAAGGTCAGCCTGGGCTAGAGAGCAAGACTCAGTCTCAAAAATAAATGAAAAATAAAGGAAGACAGAGAATCCAAAAGTCCTAAATCAAAGGTATTTAATCAAAGTCAAAAGTCTGTGTGTCTGGGGAGCCCAGAACACTTATGTGAAAGAACTTGGGAAATGAGCTATCAACCGGTGCATTTCAGAGATTTTCCCAAAGGTCACAGCAGAACAGAAGCACCCTGTGAGAGCCTCTTCTTAATAGGCCTCACATTAAAAAACATTAGGAGATTTCACCTCGGTGCTTTGATGTAAAATACAAGAAGATAACCAGAAAAGAATGTCTCCTGAGTGTGCCATCAAGTCCCCTTCAGGAAACAGCAAACTGTCTTCAGGCTGAGGTGGCTGGCTGGCTGCTTAACCGCCAATTAGGGACACTCCTGACAGTGCCGGTAGATTTCAGCCAGCGAGGCTTTGCCTGTCTTCCTCCTGCCCCATTCTACTGCTTTTTGCCAGAGTGAAAGACACATGCGTCAGAACCTCGGGTGCCACCAGACGCTAATATCACATTGCGTCATCTGACCCCAGGTGTGGCGCTCCCCAAACTGGTTTTTCTTGAGGATGTGCTGAAGAAGAAAAGCATTTTGGGAATCACGCCCGCCAACTGGCCTTACTTGTCCGATGACAAATGTGATTGCTGCCACTGCGTGCCTCTGTTCCACGCACTCCTGCCCCAGGGAAGCCCGTGTGACTCTCCGGCTGAAATGGGTGGGCTGCTGCCAGCATACACCCTCGAGGCGTGTCACGTTCCTCCTTATGTAAGGGACTCAACAGAGCGCGGGGCACCTACCAGGCAAGCTGGAAGCTCCTCCTCCCCCCAAATGTGCTTGGAATTTTACTTCACTTTAATTGAGTAACTGAATGGCTTGGTGCAAAACCTGGAGAGGAGGAGGGAGAGGAAGGGGGCGAGATTTCTCAAGCACTTTTTTCTGGGCACAGGTGCCTGGCCCAGTGATGAGCATTCCACACACAGAGCCTAGAAATGGGCGTTCCAAGCGGCAACCTGCAGTTGCCATTTGGTCTCTTGTGGTCTTTTTTTTTTTTTTCTTGACTTTATTATTTTTTTCTTTTATTCATATGTGCATACAATGTTTGGGTTATTTCTCCCCCCTCCCCATCCCTTACCTACCCCGCCCCCTCCCTCTTCCCCCCACCCCCTTGCTACCAGGCAGAAACTATTTTGCCCTTATCTCTAATTTTGTTGTAGAGAGAGTACAAGCGATAATAGGAAGGAACAAGGGTTTTTGCTGGTTGAGATAAGGATAGCTATACAGGGAGTTGACTCACATTGATTTCCTGTGCGTGGGTGTTACCTTCTAGGCTAATTCTTTTTGATCTCATCTTTTCTCTAGTTCCTGGTTCCCTTTTCCTATTGGCCTCAGTTGCTTTTAAGGTATCTGCTTTAGTTTCTCTGCATTGAGGGAACAAATGCTAGCTAATTTTTTAGGTGTCTTACCTATCCTCACATCTCCCTTGTGTGCTCTCGCTTTTATCATGTGATCAAAGTCCAATCCCCTTGTTGTGTTTGCCCTTGATCTAATGTCCGCATATGAGGGAGAACATACGATTTTTGGTCTTTTGGGCCAGACTAACCTCACTCAGAATGATGTTCTCCAATTCTATCCATTTATCTGTGAATGATAAGTTTTCATTCTTCTTCACGGCTGCATAGAATTCCATTGTGTATAGATACCACATTTTCTTGATCCATTCGTCAGTGGTGGGGCATCTTGGCTGTTTCCATAACTTGGCTTTTGTGAATAGTGCCGCAATAAACATGGGTGTGCAGGTGCCTCTGGAATAACCTGTGTCACAGTCTTTGGGGTATATCCAAATATATGCTGGATCATATGGTAGAGCTATGTTTAGATTTTTAAGAAGCCTCCAAATTTTTTTCCAGAGTGGTTGTACTAGTTTACATTCCCACCAACAGTGTAAGAGGATTCCTTTTTCCCCGAATCCTCACCAACACCTGTTATTGGTGTTGTTGCTGATGATGGCTATTCTAACAGGGGTGAGGTGGAATCTTAGTGTGGTTTTAATTTGCATTTCCTTTATGGCTAGAGATGGTGAGCATTTTTTCATGTGTTTTTTGGCCATTTGAACTTCTTCTTTTGAGAAAGTTCTGTTTAGCTCACTTGCCCATTTCTTTATTGGTTCATTAATTTTGGGAGAATTTAGTTTTTTGAGTTCCCTATATATTCTGGTTATCAGTCCTTTGTCTGCTGTGTAGCTGGCAAATATTTTCTCCCACTCTGTGGGTATTCTCTTCAGTTTAGAGACCATTTCTTTTGATGAACAGAAGCTTTTTAGTTTTATGAAGTCCCATTTATCTATGCTATCTCTTAGTTGCTGTGCTGCTGGGGTTTCATTGAGAAAGTTCTTACCTATACCTACTAACTCCAGAGTATTTCCTACTTTAGAGTTTGGGGTCTCATAGTAAGATCCTTGATCCATTTTGAGTTAATATTGGTATAGGGTGATATACATGGATCTAGTTTCAGTTTTTTTGCAGACTGCTAACCAGTTTTCGCAGCAGTTTTTGTTGAAGAGGCATCTTTTCTCCATTGTATATTTTTAGCGCCTTTGTCAAAGACAAGTTGGTTATAGTTGTGTGGCTTCATATCCAGGTCCTCTATTCTGGTCCACTGGTCTTTGTGTCTGTTTTTGTGCCAGTACCATGCTGTTTTTATTGCTATTGCTTTGTAATATAGTTTGAAGTCGGGTATTGTGATACCTCCAGTGTTGTTCTTTTTACTGAATATTGCCTTGGCTATTCATGGCCTCTTGTGTTTCCAAATAAATTTAACAGTTGATTTTTCAATTTCTTTGATGAATGTCATTGGGATTGTGATGGGAATTGCATTAAACATGTAGATTACTTTTGGGAGTATAGACATTTTTACTATGTTGATTCTACCAATCCACGAGCATGGGAGCTCTCTCCACTTTCTATAGTCTTCCTCAATCTCTTTCTTCAGAAGTTTATAGTTTTCTTTGTAGAGGTCTTTCACATCCTTTGTTAAGTTTACACCTAGGTATTTGATTTTTTTTTTGAGGCTATTGTAAATGGAATTGTTTTCATACATTCTTTCTCAGTTCATTATTAGTGTATAGAAATGCTAATGATTTTTCTATGTTGATTTTATATCCTGCTACCTTGCTATAGCTATTGATGGTGTCTAGGAGCTTTTGAGTAGAGTTTTTTGGGTCTTTAAGGTATAGGATCATATCTGCAAATAGGGATATTTTGACAGTTTCTTTACCTATTGTATTCCTTTTATTCCTTCTTCTTGCCTAATTGCTCTGGCTAGGAATTCCAGTACTATGTTGAATAGGAGTGGAGATAGTGGGCATCCTTGTCTAGTTCCTGATTTTAGAGGGAATGGTTTCAGTTTTTCTCCATTAAGTATAATGCTGGCTGTAGGTTTGTCATATATAGCTTTTATAATGTTGAGGTACTTTCCTTCTGTTCCTAGTTTTCTTAGCGCTTTTATCATGAAATGGTGTTGGATCTTATCAAAGGCTTTTTCTGCATCTATTGAGATGATCAAGTGGTTTTTGTCTTTGCTTCTGTTAATGTGGTTTATTAGGTTTATTGATTTTCGTATGTTGAACCATCCTTGCATTCCTGGGATGAAGCCTACTTGGTGGTGGTGA